AGGGGGGGGGGAGTAGTGTGGAGGGGGGGGGGAGTAGTGTGGAGGGGGGGGGGGGAGTAGTGTGGAGGGGGGGGAGTAGTGTGGAGGGGGGGGGTAGTGTGGGGGGGGGGGAGTGTGGAGGGGGGGGAGTAGTGTGGAGGGGGGCAGTAGTGTGGAGGGGGGGGGGGGAGTAGTGTGGGGGGGGGGAGTAGTGTGGAGGGGGGGGGGGGAGTAGTGTGGAGGGGGGGGGAGTAGTGTGGAGGGGGGGGGGGGGAGTAGTGTGGGGGGGGGGTGGAGGCCACCAGAACAACCTGCCTCACACCCGGTGCCAATGTGGCACTTCCTCACCTGAGAGTAAATTATTGTGGGGTGCCATCTTGAGGTAGGTCAGTAGTTAGCACCCTATGGGGAGCCTTACACCCGATGCCTCTTTTCACCTTAGCCGTAAATAGGGTACCCCCGGATTTAGGCAACTTGTGGGGGGTTGAATCCTGGGGAAATATCAGTAGTTCCACCAGGGGGGGGGCGTGGACCCCGAGAATAGGAACCCAATGACTAAATAACTTGATTTCAGGTCCAACCACTTGGGCTGGACGGTAGAACGACGGTCTCGCTTCATGCAGGTCGGCGTTCAATCCCCGACCGTCCACAAGTGGTTGGGGCACCATTCCTTCCCCCCGTCCCATCCCAAATCCTCATCCTGACCCCTTTCAAGTGCTATAGTCGTAATGGCTTGGCGCTTTCCCCCTGATAATTCATTCATTCATTGATTTCAGGTCAAATTTCTGTGTGTGGTCATCCCTACCGTTGCTTGTGTTTCAGACAGACGCACCGGTCCCCGGACGACAAGCGGGTGGCGCGCAAGTGTCCGTACTGCGACAAGGTGTACGTGAGCACGCCCGCCTTCAGCCAGCACATGCGCACCCACAACCAGGGCTGCAAGTGCACCACCTGCGGCAAGTGTTTCTCCCGCCCCTGGCTCCTCCAGGGTCACATCCGCACCCACACAGGTGACCCCACGACCCGCGTCTTCGCCAGTTACACACCTCCACAGCCTTCCTACTCCTCCCCCGGCTCTGTCACACACTCCTCCCATCATTGACACGCTCCTCCCCCTCTACAGCACGCTCATCCCCCTCTACAGCACGTTCCTCCCCCTCTAAAGCACGCTCCTCCCATCACTGGCATGCCCCTCCCCTTTACAGTATGCTCCTCCCCCTTTACAGCACGCTCCTCCCTCTCTACAGCACGCTCCTCCCCCTCAACAGCACGCTCCTCCCCCTCAACAGCACGCTCCTCCCCCTCTACAGCACCCTCCTCCCCCTAAACAGCACGCTCCTCCCCCTAAACAGCACGCTCCTCCCCCTAAACAGCACGCTCCTCCCCCTAAACAGCACGCTCCTCCCCCTAAACAGCACGCTCCTCCCCCTAAACAGCACGCTCCTCCCCCTAAACAGCACGCTCCTCCCCCTAAACAGCACGCTCCTCCCCCCTAAACAGCACGCTCCTTCCCCTAAACAGCACGCTCCTCCCCCTCTACAGCACGCTCCTCCCCCTCTACAGCACGCTCCTCCCCCTCTACAGCACGCTCCTCCCCCTCTACAGCACGCTCCTCCCCCTAAACTTTCCTTTGCAACTTTGCTATATATCATTTTACTATATATGGCCATCGAAAAGGAAAATATGTCAAATTGCAGGAATCTAAACATTACTTTTTGTTAATAATCTTTCACGGATAAATATGCAACCTTTTTTTTACTATAAATATATCTAATCATAGTTTTATAAATTCAGATAACTCCACATCTCAAGGTATTTATTCTTTAGTATGTGCCTGATATGTGCAAGGTCGTGTTTTAGTGTGTGTGTAGATGGAGATGTAATCCAAGGCAGTCATGGCTCATGGTTTGTAGTCAATATTTGTGTCTCATACAATCTACCGCGCAGCAGAGTGCTTGAATCTCAGGTTTATCTTCCAGGAGAGAAGCCCTTCAGATGTTCCACGTGCGGCAAGGCCTTCGCTGACAAGTCCAACTTGCGAGCGCACGTCCAGACCCACTCCAGCATCAAACCCTACGCCTGCACCCGCTGTGGCAAGTCCTTTGCCCTCAAGTCCTACCTCTACAAGCACGAAGAATCCTCTTCTTGTATGAAGCTACATCGAGCACTGAGTCGGAGCTGCGTGGCGTCCCACACTCCTGCAGCAGCAGCAGCAGCAGCAACAGCGGCCGTCACGATGCTTGGCCCTCCTGACCTGCCTCCTGGCGTCAACACCGCCCTCCACCAACCACCAGTCGGCCTTGGGAGCCGCCTGGGAGCACGACCCATGCATACAGTAACTATCCTTCGCTCGGCCCCAAATATGCATACCGCACGCGTCCATTGACGTCGTCGCGACGCTGTTGAAAGCGCGCGCGTATGCGTTCCATACCACACTCTTACACGCACGCCGGGAAGCACCTCCCAAAGCAAGAGGAACAAGGCATATGCGCTGTGCTCGACTGACAAAAAAAAATTGTCACTGGTTACGAAACTAGTCAGTTGTTATAATGCAGTTAAGTAGTGGAGGGCGCCATTAGATGTAGGTCTGATGTAATAGGGAGATACAGAGACATCATTAACCTGATGCTATGGAGAGACAAGGAGTTATATGGCTCCTACACACATGCCTGTGTAGTTACTTGTTGCCTGGGCTATTGAGTCACGTGTGTGGCGGACCATATGTCCCTCAACTATGGTCCAGTTACGTTGGTCTTAACGATGCCTTACCGCCGGTGACACGCGGTGATTACTGGCGACAGGTAGTAAGGTCATGTGACAAAGTGACAGGGAGTGCAGGTGACAGTGATATAGAGAGAAGGTGACATGCTGGACAGGCAAGCAATTTGAGGCGTCTGGGTGATGGGTGACGGGTTGGGTGACAGGTGACGGTAGGGGTTAGGGGGGGGGGGGTTTAAGGAGTGTCTAGGGGTGACACTGGGGGGAGTAGGAGTGGGGGTTCCTCCCTACACGTGTGGTTAAGGGGACCAGCACACAGCCTGTGTTCTCTCTACTAAAATAGAACACTTTAGGCAATAACCCACTGCAAACTCCTACATATATTGGATGCAATGTAGAATGTAGATAATCGCTCGTGTTAACTAATAAGAAACTATTAATCGGTAAAAAACAAAAAAATAAGCATGAAGAAGTCATTGATACGAATAATTAAGACATAAGATGGGTCCAATAGAATTTAGTAGCTAGGGATGGCCTCCCAGCGCAAGGCCCCTTAGGTAAGGGGTGCCAGGTGCCAGAAGGCTTGGCACCAGAGACGGCCACCACTGGCAGGGGGATAGGAGGAGGGATAGAGCCATAGAGGGGAGGGGGGGGAGTAGCGGGATAGTGCCATAGAGCAAATATCGGATGGGATATCTAGTCAATAGCGTGTCGATGCCACGGCTCAACCCGGAGTTAAGAGACATCTAGTAAGTGCTAGATTAACCTCTTATCGGGTTGACTGTAATTCCTGAAGTGCCTGTAGTAATTCACCTCTGGGACCACGGAGTAACTTGCTTTTTGTAACCTTTGTATTACTTTGTAGAAACTCACAAAAACTGTATAAAAATTTAAGTCATTAATGTAAGATGTAAAATTGTGAAAGTGTTGGGTAGCTCTGGCAACATGGGGCTCTGTGGCCCCCAGCACGGCCTGCTAGGCACATGGGTGGCCCCCAGCACGGCCAGCTAGGCACATGGGTGACCCCCAGCACGGCCTGCTAGGCACATGGGTGGCCCCCAGCACGGCCTGCTAGGCACATGGGTGGCCCCCAGCACGGCCAGCTAGGCACTTGGGTGGCCCCCAGCACGGCCAGCTAGGCACATGGGGTGGCCCCCAGCACGGCCTGCTAGGCACATGGGGTGGCCCCCAGCACGGCCTGCTAGGCACATGGGGTGGCCCCCAGCACGGCCAGCTAGGCACATGGGGTGGCCCCCAGCACGGCCAGCTAGTCACATGGGTGGCCCCCAGCACGGCCAGCTAGTCACATGGGTGGCCCCCAGCACGGCCAGCTAGTCACATGGGTGGCCCCCAGCACGGCCAGCTAGGCACATGGGTGGCCCCCAGCACGGCCAGCTAGTCACATGGGTGGCCCCCAGCACGGCCAGCTAGGCACATGGGTGGCCTCCAGCCCGGCCAGCTAGGCACATGGGTGGCCCCCAGCACCACCAGACATAAGGGTAGCCATCAGGATGACAAAAATAAATTAGCGAGACCCCGGGAGCCGGCCAGCCAGCCAGCCACGAGGACTGTGCCAGACCAAACACTCCTCGCCTCAAACTCACATCCTCACACATCTCTAGTGATGCTGGGTCTAAGGCCACTCACCCTCTGAAGGGTCAAAGCCATCACAACAGCTTATTAATGACCAACCAGCAAGTATGCTTTAGTCTGAAGCATTGATTGGTCACCCTGTGTCTGATGCCAAAGGATTGGGGTTCGTGCCACACCTGCCACCCCGTGATAGTGCCATAAGGACGGGGTTCATGCCACACCTGCCACGCCTGCACCATTATGTACATAATCTAGCAAAAATCATGTTGTTTAATCACGAGTTGAAACTAAAGTTTCTTCTCGACTTTGGTATGGAGCTTTAAATATCTATTTATTTATCATATTTATACATTTTCTACATTAAGTTATTTTGTATTTATGTGTGAGAGTGTATTACAAGCCTATCAATATTTACGTGTGAGAGTGTGGTACAAGCCTATCAATATTTACGTGTGAGAGTGTGGTACAAGCCTATCAATATTTACGTGTGAGAGTGGTACAAGCCTATCAATATTTACGTGTGAGAGCCTATCAATATTTACGTGAGAGTGTGGTACAAGCCTATCAATATTTACGTGTGAGAGTGTGGTACAAGCCTATCAATATTTACGTGAGAGTGTAGTACAAGCCTATCAATATTTACGTGTGAGAGTGTGGTACAAGCCTATCAATATTTACGTGTGAGAGTGTGGTACAAGCCTATCAATATTTACGTGAGAGTGTAGTACAAGCCTATCAATATTTACGTGTGAGAGTGTGGTACAAGCCTATCAATATTTGTGTGTGTGTGTGGTACAAGCCTATCAATATTTACGTGTGAGAGTGTGGTACAAGCCTATCAATAGTTACGTGTGAGTGTGGTACAAGCCTATCAATATTTACGTGTGAGAGTGTGGTACAAGCCTATCAATAGTTACGTGTGAGTGTGGTACAAGCCTATCAATATTTACGTGAGAGTGTGGTACAAGCCTATCAATATTTACGTGTGAGAGTGTGGTACAAGCCTATCAATATTTACGTGTGAGAGTGTGGTACAAGCCTATCAATATTTACGTGTGAGAGTGTGGTACAAGCCTATCAATATTTGTGTGTGTGAGTGTGGTACAAGCCTATCAATATTTACGTGTGAGAGTGTGGTACAAGCCTATCAATATTTATGTGTATGTGGGATATATTGTGGTACAAGCCTATCAATATTTATGTGTGTGTGGGATATATTGTGGTAGAAGCCTATCAAAATTTACGAGAGAGAGTTTGTAGTTCAAGCCTTTCGATATACATGTGTATGAGAGTGCAGTAAAAACCTATCAACATTTATACATGTGAGTGTGTTGTGCAAGCCAATCAACATCTATATGTCTGATTGTAATACAAACCTATAAATATTTAGTGTGTAAGTGTAGTACAAGCCTATACATATTTATGTATGCGAGAGTATAGTACAAGCCTATCAATATTTATGCGAATGTGTAGTACCAGGTTACCATTAAATATGACGCCCACTGGAATTTTTATGTAGATGCCTTTAATAAAATAATTACGTGCTTCCTACAGAGAAAAAAACAGAATCACAGGAATTGTATTTCAGAAAAATAAATACAATACGCTTATAATTCTACAAACAGCTGTCACTTTTGGTTATGCCACGTCTTACAGGCTGGTAATACCAGCAAGCGAATAGATACCATGGTACAATTATATAATATTAGATGGGGTACCAGGGTCCCTCTTAAACGCCTATCAATATTTGTTGATCCAGTTCAATATGGATCAATAATATTGATCCAGCGCTCCCTCTTCCTCTTCTGGCGATCAATTCCCCTCTCATCACTACACGGGGTCGTCCCTGATAGCCCCCATGTTAGCTGGCTAACATACAAGTTATCTTCCACGAACTTTAAGACGAAGACTTCCAGATCATCCTGCATACTGCGCCAGCCGTCATCATCCGAACATTGGAGATGGACAAGCTGTAATGGACCTATTGGCCCACTTTCCGTCCAGGACGGACCGAAACGTCGTCCCTTCAACTTGTAGTGTGTGGTCTGGTCAACATACTTCAGCCACGTTATTGTGACTCCTCGCCTGCACTTTCCGTCACCTTACTCACAGGTACACTGTCCATTGCTCCAGCAAAATTATATTCACTTCTACACTGCCTTTGAAAATGTTGACAAGGTTAAAGAAACGTATATCTCGGCTTCCTTCTAAGTGAAGAACTTAAGAAATAGAGAATATTCGAGAACCACTCCTCAATAAAATAAATATATATTTAGAATTTTAGAATTATAAAGAATTTTCTTTGAAAATGTAATAAGGAATTACGAAACGCGTTTAGGCGTCAGACTAGGAATACAAAGAATGAATGTTGGAGAATTACTTTATTAATTACCCCCGACAGTGAAGGAGAACGTAAGAAATAGAGAAGATTCGTGTTAGAATTAATTTAATCTTACTCTTTCGGTCATATTCAGCGATTAAACTGGTTAAACAACTCTGTTTAAAAATTATGCCGTTAGCTAGGCTGGTGTGAAATAATGCTTAAAATCTGGAGGCTGGACGGTAGAGCGACGGTCTCGCCTCATGCAGGTCGGCTTTCAATCCCCGACCGTCCAAGTGGTTCGGCACCATTCCTTTCCCCTGTCCCATCCCAAATTCTTATCCCTTCCGAGTGTTATATAGTCGGAATGGCCTGGTGCTTTCTAATGATAGTTCCCTTCCCTCCGAAATAAGTTTTCAAGACTGTTGTTATAGATTCAGCTACTCGGAACAAGTTCCTAGTAGCACGGGCTATGGTGAGCCCGCTGTGGACTTACATGGCTCAGGAGCGGGGCTGTAACTCTTCACCTTTCAAGACTGTTACAACCTGGTTTGACGAACACACTCAACCGTGAACCCTGGAATGGGAAATGATACTCCAGAGAGAATCAACTCTTCTAAATTTTCCAACGAAAATCCAACATTGTAGAAAAAATTAAGTACATGTACATGATCAGTACCTGTTAATGGACAGCAACAATTTACGAACACTGGTAAGAATGTTATCTCCTGAAAATAACATTGAAATGTCATTGGTTATCTCAGGTAAGTCACATATTATAAACAATGTTTACCTTATAGAGGTAAATACCTCAAATGGAACACTCAAAATGCAGCCCATCCTTCTGTTTAAGTAGTCCTTGTGGTAACGATGAAGACCAGTGTCCATATATTTCCGTAAAAGGCAATTAGAACGTAGAAATCGGTACTATTGAATTTGAACAAACCGGATAAGCTTTTGTTCTGATGTTGCAAAGAAAACTTAACCTAACCTAACCTTCCTAGACGTGAAACATGCTATCTGAAGCCAAGTATTAAGGTTTAGTCTAAGTTTTTTCCCCCCCACACCTTGCCCTAAACGCTGTGCGTATTAGTGGCTTCAAGCATTGTATGGACTAGTTCTATCTTTTAATCCAACATTATGTTTGTAACTCATTTTCAATGTATGTACGTTTACCTGAATAAATATCTTATCTAATGGAGTACATGTGTGCTATACTAGACTTAATAATATTTAAGCTTGGTCTTTGCTTTATTTATTTCGGACTTGTAAAGCGAATAGTGCCAAATTCTACTCTCTAATTGTTCATTACGTCTATGTATATACGATGGTCGACAGTCACAAAAAGTACTATCTAAACAGGAGGATGGGTTGCAAAATGACACTGGACAACTCCTTCGCCGCATCCGGTGTGCATTTATCACAACCTATCCTCCTGCCCTCTTGGTGATTTCTCGCATTTTCCTAATAGCTTGGATGGGATAATTTTCCTTCTATGTAGAGTATTTAGCAACACGATCTGGTCCAGCAGCTGTGCTCATTGACTAACACTGTAGGGCTTGTCCTACGTGTGTTGTAGGACTTGATAGAACTGAAGGTTGGGATTCTGGCGTGGATGATGATGTTCACTGTTCTGGAGGTTGTGGTGGAGACTAGACTATAGGTAGAGTGCTTTAGGAAGTTATAGGGTAACTAGGCTATAGGTAGGGGTGCTTCAGGAGGGTGTAGGGTAACTAGGCTATAGGTAGTGGTGCTTCAGGAGAATGTAGGGTAACTAGGCTATAGGTAGGTTGCTCGTATCCAGAAAATTCCAAGTATGTTAACTTCAAAAGAACGGGTCACCGTCATGGGTCCTCCACATCGACTACAAAACAGTAAATGTCATACGACTGTGTAATATGACTTTTTGTGTCTGCCGCCCACACTTGCAACTGTCGACTAGCTGTCTTTTGCACAGTCTTGCTTGGAGCCCGCTTGAGATTTTTTCTGTACAGCCTCGCCTAGTACCTTCTGATCTCTCTGTAGTGCTCCACGTACTACCTTCTCCTGACCTTCCTCAGCAGACAGACACACACATTAGAGAGAGCAGTCGGGGTACCATACAATCCACGAAGAGAACCTCTGCATACTACTGTGCCAGATTGCTGAATCTAAAACAACCAACCACTGCGACTTAGCCCGTCAGCTACCAGTGTCTCTGCTGAAGTGAATATCACGTTTCCACTATATCAGGGGATGACCTAGAGCCTGGTAAGGCCTCATCTAATGAACAAGGTTACATTAATTATGTAGATTTCCGTCATCCGGGGTGCTTGAGGACGTTGTGGATAACTAGGTTATAGGTTGTGCGCTTATGGACGTTGTGGGTGATTGTGGGTGACTAGGCTATAGGTAGGGTGCGTCAGGCAGTTGTAGGGTAACTAGGCTATAGGCATGTTCACTCCAAGTTAGACCAGACTCAAGAGTTATTCTGAGGTACAGACTGTTGCCATGGTCAGCGAAGCACTGATGTCAAGACATATTAATTGATAAAATTCTGAAGTACACGAAAGGAGTTTACCATTCAAGGTTATTATTGTTTATGAAGAGAGTGGATAAGATTGCGTGCGACAAATACTCGAGATATGATAATTCACATCAAAGTGATTAGAACTATTTGCAGGTTTCTGGGCAACTTGGAATCACTATACTGTAGTTATATTTAGATAAAATAATACGTTATCATTCAGTAACTTGCAGGAGCTTATCTCCTGCCCGAAAAGCTGTGTTTTATTTTGGGGACTTTACTTAACATTAAATTACTGTACCTACTAACCAGTACAGTTGGGCTAGTTCTCTACTCACAATCGGGTATCCCGGGTTCGAATCCTGAGCGGTATGGAAATAGTTAAGCACGTTTCTCAACACGCCGGCCAACAGCGACGACAAACACGTCCACCCACCAGACGCCAGTAGCAGAGCGAATCAACACACGTCTGCTCGCCACCACGTCCACGACGAGACTCCTCTTTTTAAATAAAGATAAAAAAAAAGCATTAAATACATATTGAGGAGTTAGTTAAATGTTGTGATATTGCATCCTGGGAATGGTCAGTAAAACAAATATTCCTAGGCCTAGTGTAGCATACATATACTATACTAGGCCTCAGATAGCTTTTATTAGGCTTAGGAAGGTTAGGTTAGTTTGTCTTTGCACCTACGAAGAAAATCTTTTTCCGGTTTGTCCAAAATCAATAGTACCAATTTCTACTTTTGTAATTGTGTTGTACGGCAGAGTATATGCCCCTGTTACCTAGCTATGGTCCTCATTGTGTCACCGGGCCGCGGGGACAGGCAGATACGGCAGTACTATGTATTGTGTTTATTTACACATTAGGCCTATATCGGGGTCCCCTCTAAGGCCGGAATTACTGACCCCCGCCCACGATGCAACCCCACAACTAGCTGACTAACTCCTGAGTACCTACTTACTACTAGGTGAACAGAAGCATTAGATGATAGCAAATGCGCCCAAGCATTTCTGTCCCGCCCGGGATTCGAACCCGGAATTCTCGGTAGTGTCGAGAGCGAACCCAACTGTACTGATTGACTGATGAAGATTAAGCCACCCAAAAGGTGGCACGGGCATGAATAGCCCGTAAGTGGTGGCCCTTTTGAGCCATTACCAGTATCAATAGTCGAGCCTGGCCTCGGGCCGGGCTTGGGGAGTAGAAGAACTCCCAGAACCCCATCAACCAGGTAACCAGGTAATAGATGATACTGGAGATCTGTGGAGGTGCGACTGCACCCTACGGAGAGGTCCTGACCTTTGCCAACTGTACTACTGGGACCCCCCATATATATACACAAATCACATATCCCTGAAACACTGAATTAAGTTACAGCTAATCTGTTACTTTTAACTCATGCGTTTTCTGTAACCTTAGTTGAGGCTGACGCCTGAATGCTGGTGGTCTGAAACCTTGCTGGGACCCTGAATGCTGGTCTGAAACCTTGCTGGGGACCCTGAATGCTGGTCTGAAACCTTGCTGGGGACCCTGAATGCTGGTCTGCTGGGGACCCTGAATGCTGGTCTGAAACCTTGCTGGGGACCCTGAATGCTGGTCTGAAACCTTGCTGGGGACCCTGAATGCTGGTCTGAAACCTTGCTGGGGACCCTGAATGCTGGTCTGAAACCTTGCTGGGGACCCTGAATGCTGGTCTGAAACCTTGCTGGGGACCCTGAATGCTGGTCTGAAACCTTGCTGGGGACCCTGAATGCTAGTCTGAAACCTTGCTGGGGACCCTGAATGCTAGTCTGAAACCTTGCTGGGGACCCTGAATGCTGGTCTGAAACCTTGCTGGGACCCTGAATGCTGGTCTGAAACCTTGCTGGGACCCTGAATGCTGGTCTGAAACCTTGCTGGGACCCTGAATGCTGGTCTGAAACCTTGCTGGGACCCTGAATGCTGGTCTGAAACCTTGCTGGGACCCTGAATGCTGGTCTGAAACCTTGCTGGGACCCTGAATACTGGTCTGAAACCTTGCTGGGACCCTGAATGCTGGTCTGAAACCTTGCTGGGACCCTGAATGCTGGTCTGAAACCTTGCTGGGGACCCTGAATGCTGGTCTGAAACCTTGCTGGGGACTGAATGCTGGTCTGCTGGGGACCCTGAATGCTGGTCTGAAACCTTGCTGGGGACCCTGAATGCTGGTCTGAAACCTTGCTGGGGGACCCTGAATGCTGGTCTGAAACCTTGCTGGGGGACCCTGAATGCTGGTCTGAAACCTTGCTGGGACCCTGAATGCTGGTCTGAAACCTTGCTGGGACCCTGAATGCTGGTCTGAAACCTTACTGGGACCCTGAATGCTGGTCTGAAACCTTGCTGGGGACCCTGAAATGTAGATAATCACGGTTCACAAGCTCTCGGAGCGTACTAGTGATAGCGTATGATCAGTCACCACAGTCAGTCTTGCTTCTGAAGTGTCTGGTTGACGTCGAGCGAAGGATATACAGCGCCAACGGCTGCCATGTTCAGGGACAGGTTAATGGAGACTGAGCTTAACTTCCCAGGAAGGTGCTCAAAGGTAGGCTGTGACCCCGGGAGTTAATAGGCTCCACGGAACGAACGTGTGTGAAGGGAGTCCTTATGGAATGGAATCTCTTGCAGGTGACCCACCATAAGATGTAGGCTTGCTGGATAGAATTACAATGTTTCATTTTCCTTAATTTGATTTTCTTTGTCGGGAATAGGAAGGCTGTGTTTAGGCTTGCGGAGGTGCCACCTAGCCCAACTACTAACCTTCCAAAGGATGCCACCCACAACAGCTGTGTAACTCACGGGCACCTATTGACCTATGTAAACAAAGGAATCGGGTGAAAAAAGGTGCCCAACGGTTTCTGTCCTGTCGGGGGATTGAACCCGGGTGCCACGGTTGTGAGCCGAGGACGAAACCTACGCTATCTTGGTATACCATGGTTGGGGAATAAAGCCTGTTAGGTTTATCGACGTCCCTTTACAGAAGGGTTAGGCAGTCTGCATGGTTACCCATTCACTTCTGGCGTGAATACGTCAGTTTTTTGCCTAAAGGAATTTATCCGTCAAAATATGTATTCGAAAGATCGGGTTCACTGACGCGGCATATGACGCTTTTAAACTATTGACGTATATACGTTCGTACATTCGTGTGTGTGTGTGTGTGTGTGTGTTTGTTTACTATTTGTGCATGCAGAATCGAGGTATTAGCTCTTGGACCCCGCCTTTCTAACCAATTTATTTTTCCTCTATTATGACTACTACATATATTTCTGACACATGCACACACACACACCCAGGAAGCAGCCCGTAACAGCTGTCTAACTCCCAGGTATCTACTTACTGCTAGGTGAACAGACGCATCAGGGTGAAAGAAACTACTTATTTGTTTCTGCCTCGACCTGGAATGGAACCCGGACCCTTAGAACTACGAACCCCGAGCGCAGTCCACTCAGCCACGAGGAAAATGTCACGTAGCGTACCAAAGCTGTGATACAAAGCTTTGTACCATACATAAAGGCGAAAGGCCCTTGAAGGAAAACTGAAGCATTCAACTTTATTATATTTCTTGTTAGCTTTGTTATATTAAATCATATATTAATTATTTGAAATTTAATTTTAATAAAAATATCATTTATTTCCGGTTTTCGCTTACACATTACACACAACACTGCAAGAACAACGGATATTCTTCCGTTGAAAGTATTCTTAGTATTATTATGAATAAGAAAGTATTCTTCGTCGTCGAAATAATCTTCCTCTGAAAGGTCAAAGACCGTCTTTCTAATTTAAGGAACGGGTGCCAACTTTTGCCTTCTTCATCGGCCATAGAAAATGTTCGTTTGGTCACAGGGACTTCGTTATATCCAGCTCTGCTACAGTTGCTGCCTCGACTATTCTGCCTCTGCGCTCAAGTTCTTCATTGGGAGGACTTTCTCCAGCTATATAAAACATTCAGTCTCCCTTAAAAATACCGTTAAGTATTTTGTCGTTTTCTGTGAATCGGCCTTTTCTTTCCTTCAATCTGATTACCTGTTAATGCTCCGTGACTTTCCTTATCTTGCCATACAAACTCTAGGCCAAGAAAACTAGTAACTGGTAACTGGAGGTGTGGTAGAAGAGGCTGAAGATAAGAGATAACTAACTGATCAGTTCCGATACTGTGTTGTCTTGCTGCTGGTTGTTCGTTTCTCGCGGAACCCGTCAACATATATACCAGGCTGTGGAGCAGGTGCCAGGCTGTGGAGCAGGTGCCAGGCTGTGGAGCAGTTACCAGGCTGTGGAGCAGGTGCCAGGCTGTGGAGCAGCTACCAGGCTGTGGAGCAGTTACCAGGCTGTGGAGCAGTTACCAGGCTGTGGAGCAGCTACCAGGCTGTGGAGCAGTTACCAGGCTGTGGAGCAGCTACCAGGCTGTGGAGCAGTGAACAAGACCTTAACACCACCAGAGCGCTGTGTGGAGCAGTGAATATTCGAGTTCCCATAACAATCAATCAAACCCATTGCATAATGTACACAATGTAGAGAAATGTTCCTTCATGGACTCAATAAGCCACTTCGAGAGCTTCAGAAAATGTTGTCTAATGTAACAACAAAATACCTGTCCGTCAGTGTTACGAACAAAGGAGCTTCTGGCACAAATAACAGTAAATAAGACAAAAGCCTAACATTTTCACAATGAAGTAGAAAACTGACACGGATGGGGAAATGAACTAAATTCATGGCGAGAATACTCTAGCGAGTACTTCTCCATGGTACGCTGGAAAACATTGGTAATATATATATATACGAGCCAGCCTTCGAGACTTCTACCTGTAAGACCAGTTTATAAAATTGTGAGAGTGTGTATGGTGCTGTGGCGGCCATCGCTGGTCCTGGAGGGACCAAGGTCACCGCAGTATAACCCTGCAGGCGTTATGGCCAGATAGTCACCAAACTTGTTACATCAGTCATGGAGGGCAGGGTGAGTAATGTGTTGTTACTGACTGTTATACATGTTGTTTTAGATTTAGCTACTCAGAACAGAAGTTCCAAGTAGCACGGGCTATGGTGAGCCCGTAGTGGACTTACCTGGCACAGGAGCGAGGCTATGTATGTGTCTGTTGTGCATATGTACACTACAACATTATAGGCTACTCATGGCCGTGCCACCTCTTGAGTGGATTAATCTTCACCAATCACTAGAACAGATGAACAATCAATCACCATGTCAGTGTACATAGAGCATATCCTCCCCGGCCAGGATACGAACCCAGGACAAAGCCGCTCGCGAAACGCCAGGCGAGTGTCTAACCAACAGGGACCTGGCATTTCTCCTTTTCTGACACTAGGCATATTTTTCTGTCAATATCTATTTAAGCGTGCGAGACTATAATATCTTCATAGCTCAAACTACTATGTATTAGCGAATAAACTTACCATTTATGTATAATGATTAATTTTAAATACATAGCTATTAAAATGGAACAATCTCCATAACTAGCTGGCATTATAAGGTGTCTGATAACTTCCAATCTTTTTGATTGGTCAATGTGGTCTAACGGCCACACTGGATACGCTTAAGGTGCATGGAGCCCTGGCTGTCTGGGTTCGAATCCTTCAGGGGTGAGGAATTTTCGGTGTTTATTTAATGTGTATATATTTATATATATACACATACATACACAGGATTAACAAAGGCATTAGGTGAAAGGAAACGTGCCAAAGCAGTTCCGTCTTACTCGGGGATCGAACCTGGGCACAAAGGACAGGAGCCACTTGATCGCGGACAATAAAGTGTTTGATTTTATTGAATTTATTAATATTTCTTGGTATATACTGGTACAAAATATGCAACTTTTATTCCATTTATATATACAATTCTTATATTCCATTCATGTATGCGGAAAAACCACATGTGAAGAATTAAATAATGTTGAATGCGTTTTCGGCTCAATTCGCCTTCATCAGAGCAAGAGAGTGCCAAGAAATATATAAATATATATACACAAAATAACAAATGGATAATATTACTTATTACATTAGGAATACTGGTTGTAAATAGAGTGGTAATGTTAGTGGCACCAATTGTTGTGGTTATGGGTCGTGTGGTAGTTGTGGTGGCAATTACAAGCACAACCATCACAACTACTATCACCAGCACTGATCTACAACCAGTAGGGATATTCCCAGCATGTCTACCACCTTCACAGATATCCTCGGCACATCTGTCCCCAACATAAACTGTTGTATCACGCAACAGCACAGGTGTATGAGCTTCTAAAATTCATTACTGTAGTTGTAGCGCCTCTTGAGGTCACAATGATTGATTGTTGTTAAAGATTCGCTACCTAGAACAAAGTTCCAAGTAGCACGGGCTATGGTGAGCCCGTAATAAATCACAATGATGCTAGTTTGACTGTTGATTTATTGGTTAAACTCTTGCAACTAGCTCAGTTCCTAGGTCATAAAAGTATGTGTGTGTACGTCTGATACCATACTACTTGTGTAAAGGAGGAAATCTATATGTTTATCTCTCAGAATGTTCGGTAATATGTTTATTGTTTGTGATGTGTGTCTATGTATGCATTAACACGATGTACTGAACGGGGTGAGGATAGCTTGAGTTACCTCATCCCTTTGTGTGTATTTTACCTCAATAAACTTATTTCAATTTCACTAGCTCAGCTAGGAATAATGCAGCATTGATGAGGTTCAGTTGCTGAATCCATTATGTAAGGGCCTCTAATGTCAGATATTCACCCTCGATAAGAATGAACCGTGCATCAGTGAGTCACATCAACAGATAAGAGACTGTGGACTCGTCCATCAACAGATGAGTCTAGTTCAAGTATGCTTATTGAGACACTTCTGTGTGAAAATAATTTAAACAATTATTCATAAATATGACTCAAGAGTCGAGTCATTCACAACGCAAGTGTACTGGTAATGATATGGATGATTGCTCTTCCTTACCACTCAACTGCCTTACAAAACTCCCATTGACTTTCATTAAAAACAACAACAGTCATCTGCTTTCTCAACCATAAACAGTCCGCGGGACCAAAGAGCCAAAGCTCAACCCCCGCAAGCACAATTAGCTGAGTACAGTATTTACTCTAAGAGTCGGAAAGAAAGCTGCCTTACAAAAACTCCCATTGACTTTCATTAAAAACAACTTTTAATTATTTATTAGCAAGTAAATTAAACATTATCTACAATTATATTTTAAACCCGTTCTTTGTCAGGGACAGTTGAGGGCCACAGGACAAAACATTACAAACCAGACAAGACAAGGCTGATCTCATCGCAACCTTTAAAAATGTTGAACAAATTAGAAGATACTAATCCAGATCACATCTTTCAGAGGTGTAGTGTAACTCACGAGGGACAACAGCTTTAAGCTCAACAAGTTTAAATATTACACACAGAAATCACAATAGCGTGATGTATCAAATGAACAAATCCATAAGGGCCGTGACGAGGATTCGAACCTACGTCCGAGACGCTGCCTTAATCAACTGAGCTACGATATGGTATAAGAATACCATGTCGTAGCTCAGTCGATTAAGGCAGCGTCTGGGATGATCTCGGACGTAGGTTCGAATCCTCGTCACGGCCCTTGTGGATTTGTTCATAAGCTTTATAGCATAGCAACAAAAACAGGAGACGCCTTATCACACCACTTGGTCACTAGAGGCGGATAGTTTATCTTTTACCCTATACACATCCTGTGAGCTGTAGCGCAAAGGGAGTACAAAGGTCACAAAACATCTTAGCCAAGCCGCGGTCGATATTTAACACACTTATTACATTACATCTCCACAACTAATAATTATAATGATAGGTTGTAAGAAACTTCTTGCACTGCAAATGCTATGAATTATATATTATACATTGGAGGGAAGTCAATTGCTAATACAGAACGCAACAAATCCATAGAATCGCCTATACGTCTAAGTTGTGAATTCTCAAATACTTCAGATTAAAATTTAGCTTGAAAATATCTTCAGGAACAACGGGGAGGACCTTTGACAACCCGCCGGCTTTCAATCCCCGTTGACGCTGCTAGAACTGGTGGCCCTCGGGTAAATTTTGGTAAAATAACTTTTGCATATTTGTGTGTAAACAAACATGATTAAAAAATACACTAACATCTTAAGTAGCCTAACCCGTGCACATAGTTGTACGACTATCAATACTACTTACAAGACTAATAACACTCATACTATTAACACCAACACTATTACTAATAATATATACACTTATAACACTGACATTGGTATGATTCTCTGTTACAGCTGTCACTGTTAATTACAACTTTCAGTTTTAAATACAACACAATCATTTTAGGGAATGCAAGTCACAGTTATATTATGGCAAATTAGACCCATTCCCACTTTAATGCTGCATTAACTGGTAACTCGTATAGAAGTGTGTAAATTTTTTCCACTCTGCTGTTGGCTGTTTGGCGATTTTTGCCCCGGAAGGTTTGTTTATTGGGCAGCGTCACTCGCCTACGAGTGAACACACCGCCTTAGTGACGGTACTAGGTAGCAGTGAACATCACCTGCTAGTGAACATATCGCCAGAGCAGCATGTACAACACCCCCTAATAGGAAGAAAACCCGCTGGGTTTGTTTATCATGCCACTTGTACTCAAAAGCAGCTGGGGCAACTGTCTCAAGTGAACAGTTCATCAAACGAGAAGATTAATATATTTGATGTGCTATTATATGCAAGAAATGACATCACTTGTAACGCACTGTACAGTACATGAAGATTAATTTCTGATAGACTGTTCAAGTTTCTAGAACACTTCATTTAATTTGATAACTATTCATAAATATTTAACCATTAACTGGCCCTAATTTACACTGGTATACACGATATAACTGTTCATTCATAAATTGCTTGCGCCAGCTCTCTTTCCGACTCCAGAGTAAATACTGTTTATGGTTGAGAAAGCGGATTCACGTTGTTGTTGTGGAGGACTGTTGCTTCGAGGAACTTCGGACACACTATGTTGAGGTCGAGGCTGGTAAACGATTATGTCATTCATTTCCTCGTATAAATGTTCATCTGAGTTGACGCGGTCAAGAGGGTCGCCACCGGCTGGGCCTTGAGTCAAGGTATTGAATATCGACGGTCTAGTGACTACGGACGAAGGCGCTGAAGCATTCCTCTCTGCCACCGAAACCGATGAAGATTGTTTTGATCTCCTTAGGTAGATGGCAATGGTGGCGAGAATGAAGACTATTAGGAGCATAATAATGACCAGCACGACCCAGGGAGTGACAGAGGAGACCGGAGAAGCGTACTTGCGCGGGTCACAGTCAAAACTCCAAGAGGAGGAACCTTGCGTCGTTAGCATGAAATTGGTGCCGGTAATTTTACGTGTGTTCTCTGGTGATGCAAACTGCTCCTCTCCGTCGATTACCAGGTGATAACTCTTTGATAACTGGTTTTGATTGATTCTCAACTCGTGCCAATAGTCCTTTTTACTAAATATTTGTGGCAAGATTTTGAATCTTCCAATTTCATTGGGGTAATCTGGCACACACACCTTATAAAATATATCCAGCCCTAAATGCTGAAAATGTTTCTAGAATACTTCATATTTGATGACTATTCATAAATATTTAACCATTAACTGGTCCTAATTTACACTGGTATACACGATATAACTGTTCATTCATAAATTGCTTGCGCCAGCTCTCTTTCCGACTCCAGAGTAAATACTGTTTATGGTTGAGAAAGCAGATTCACGTTGTTGTTGTTGTTGTTGAGGAAGACTGTTGCTTGGAGGAACTTCGGACACACTATGTTGAGGTCGAGGCTGGTAAACGATTATGTCATTCATTTCCTCGTATAAATGTTCATCTGAGTTGACGCGGTCAAGAGGGTCGCCACCGGCTGGGCCTTGAGTCAAGGTATTGAATACCGTCGGTCTAGTGACTACGGACGAAGGCGCTGAAGCATTCCTCTCTGCCACCGAAACCGATGAAGATTGTTTTGATCTCTTTAGGTAGATGGCAATGGTGGCGAGAATGAAGACTATTAGGAACATAATAATGACCAGCACGACCCAGGGAGTGACAGAGGAGACCGGAGAAGCGTACTTGCGCGGGTCACAGTCAAAACTCCAAGAGAAGGAACCTTGCGTCGTTAGCATGAAATTGGTGCCGGTAATTTTACGTGTGTTCTCTGGTGATGCAAACTGCTCCTCTCCGTCGATTACCAGGTGATAACTCTTTGATAACTGGTTTTGATTGATTCTCAACTCGTGCCAATAGTCCTTTTTACTAAATATTTGTGGCAAGATTTTGAATCTTCCAATTTCATTGGGGTAACCTGGCACACACACCTTATAAAATATATCCAGCCCTAAATGCTGAAAATGTTCGCCAGGTTTGACATAAACAGTAAAGTTAGGGTTTGAGAAATCTCTGACAAGGCAGGTGGTGTTCAGGCTATCAGTAGAGAAGGTATGGCAACCATAGCTCTCTTCTGGCGTCAGCTCGCAGCCCTCGTATTTGTCACAAATTAGTTCGTTTAATTTGTTATATAAAGATGATACTGTGTTGTTATATATTGACGAAAATAATGTGTTGTTATATATTGACGAAAATAATGCGTTGCTCACTGCGGTACAGGAACATTCAATAAGAACAAAAACAATGAAGAAAATCTTGACAGCCATGACACCTCTGGAGAGTTTACTCTTAACCCAAATATATTTGTATTCCGTATTAAGAATCGTAGCTTTAAATCATCACTCTGATTGTATTGACCGATGTGAATACAGTAAGAATACAACTCAGGGGTAGGAATACTCTGGGCCTGTCAGATCTTCCAGTCCTTGAGTAGGCTTCCTCAGCCCTGCCCTCCACAATACCGTACTCAAGAGGGCTTCTGTTGGCTCCTTAATTTATTTTCCTTGTTTTTTATTTTTCTCCTTTCTTTTTCCTCCCTTTATTTTATCGTTCTGAATGTTTTTTATCAGTAAAAATACACTGACGAGGATTCGTACTTAACTAAAAGTTTGCTTTACGGAAGAAATGCAGAGACTGGTGCCACTGTGATGAGCCGCCCAAGGAAGATGTCCTCCCAGCAGATGCCAAGGTAGTAAATGTCCTCTCAGCAGACAAGGGTGTAGTTGTTCAAGAAACAGACATGGCAGCAGCTCTAGACAGCAGGCACCGATGCTACGGACACCTCGGGAGTAGAGCAGAAGACGATGTCCGGAGACCAGGAAATGAAGGCTTCCACTACACTGGAACACTAGGCGCAGAGGAAATAGATTCTTCCAGTAGTTATAACAAGGGCGGAGTTGAAGGAGCAGTCACCGAGGAAATGCTTTGCTGGGCGCTCATCTATCTCGACTGTAAGCGAGTGAGACGTGGCAGAGGTACAGGATCTGTGATATCCTATACTGCGTCATATCCGAGACCACTCTTAGTCATGAAAAACTGCATTTTTTAACTATACGAACAAGTGTCTTGCCCGAAACGCTGAGCGTACTTGTGGCTTCATGTGTAGTAAATACTTGCCTTATCTAGAAATCTAACACTGTTTTTAACTCATTGTGTATGTATGTATGTATATACTTTTCCCTAAATAACATTTTCATTATAATTAACTTGACTACACAATTAGCAAACGTCTTTATTCAACTGTTAGCAAAGATAGTGTTGGTGTGTTGGTAACAACGAACAATTGAAAAACAAAATAATTGACATCAAGGCACTACTACGGATGTCTGGTGTCGGACGAGTCAAGTGTAAAAGGTCATGTTGATTAGAGAAACACTAATGTACTTTGTCAGCTTCAGTCTTCCTTCATGATGACTCGTGTCTTGGCCACCAAGAGTCACGCTCATGGTGTCATTTTGCATGCTAGTCGCAGAGTTACAGCCCCGCTCCTGTGCCAGGTAAGTCCACTACGGGCTCACCATAGCCTATGCTACTGGAACGTTTTGTTCCCAGTAGCTGAATCTAAAAACAACAGCAGCATTCTAGAGAGTCAACACAGAAAGGCAGAGATGGACAGAAAAAAAGTCTCGGACAATAACAAAGCAGGCACAGACAAAAATACACAAGCACACAGATCTACGGTCCCCAAGTTCAAGTACGTTTATGAGATTTCAAAGGGATAGAGTAACTTAGGCTATTTCTGCGATTCCCGGCTCCGCCCGGGCACCACAAGGATATCTATCGCACATAGCATGTGTATACATATATACATTTTATTATGTTAAGAGTGAACTTGTTGATAAATATTCCCACTGTGCAGGGTAAATGCGTCAGGCTGTGCGCCATCTTCGTGGTGTCGGGGTTGCTGTGTGTGACGTCCCTGGGTCGGGTCTTCACCCGTTCCTCCACCACCGCCCACTTGCTCGGTGAGTACTACCTCCCTTGTCCTTCGCTGCCCAACGCACTTTTCATCACACTACGTGTTCCTGCTACTGTATTTTGTTCCTTCCTCACACACTGTATATGTCTGCTAAAAATACTCTGTTGGAGTCGCACCTGCCCCTCTTAATTTGTTTGTCGGGGACAGTCGACAGAACATTAAATACAGTCGGGACAGTCTGGCACACTCCAACAGAAATATATATAATTTAGGTTTGCATCTATATATACCCAAGGTCGAACTACTGACCCTCCGTGGATCCCACCCTACAACAGTTGTTCTACTCTCGAGTATCTATTTATTACTAGGCATTTGGTGAAAAGAAAGGTACCCAACCATTTCTGTCCCGGAAATCAAACCTGGGATCCCCAATTGACAGTCGAGAACGAAGCCAACTGCGCTAGGAGATTCTAATTACAATGTAATGCGCCCCTACATCCTCTCGTTGTATGGAGTTTGTCAAATTGTATTGTGTGGAACTCTTCGCAAATTTGTATGATGTCGCTGCTAAGTTACACTATATATGGCGCTCCAGCTAAATGATTGTGGCGCTCGCTTGTAAAACTGCCATGTATCCCCGGAAACCGTCGCGACATTAACTAGTAAGTTTACTGTCACAGTAAGCTCTGGCTTTAAGAACCCCTCTCAAGGTTGATAAGTACTTACAAGCACAACACTAAACCACTCAAGTTCAAGTATGTTCATTGAGACAAGAAAAAAATACATCTCAAAAGGATAGAGTAGCTTAGCCTATTTCTAACCCCCAAAGCCATTCCTGCACAGTTAGTGGCTAGTCACGAAATAGTTAAATTATTATCATAGGCTTATTGAGGTCCTAGGCTAAGTCCACGGCGGCAAGCAGTATCCTGCACAAAATTCTCTAGCATACTGTCCTTCATGGGCAAGCCAAGGAATTATCAGGGGAAGAGAGCGCCAAGCCATTACGACTATATAGTATTGGGAAAGGGTTAGGATAAGGATTTGTGATGGGTCGGGGGAAAATGAATGGTGCCCAACCACTTGGTCGGATATTGAACGCCAACCTGCATGAAGCTAGACCGTCGCTCTACCTTCCACCCCAAGTGGTTGGACACGAGTGTTTTAGAGGATTGTAGCCAATTTTGGCACACGCTCTCAGAAACGTTCACCTGACCTAGGCCAACTAGACTGGCTTTCCCCACGATGCAACGCACAACAGTTGCCTAACTCCCTGTTACCTATTTAATGTAAACAGAGGCATTAGGTGCAAGGAAACGCGCCCAAACGTCTCCGTCCTGTCACAGTTGTCGAACCCGGAACTTCAATATGGCTGTGACCGGATTGTACACCCCCTTCCCCCCCCCCACCTACTGCTCTACAAGTACCATCAAGTATCAGTTGAAAATTCCATTTTGCGGCTGGAAAGTGATTTAAAATTCCCGTCCAAGTGCCCGTTCTCCTGATATACCACTCCGTAAAATTGCAGCTGTTTTGCCTAGCCTGAAGCATGCCAATCCAAACAGCCTAACTTGTGGAGACCGATGTATAATTAATTTTATCAGGAGGAAAGCGCCAAGCCTTACTTTTTAGCAAAGCCTAACCTAGATGTATAGCAAAAAGTCAATATTACGAAGCTTTTAGTTCGACAAATATTTCGTGAAAGAAAATATACGATGTACTATGGCGAGAAGATGAGGTTTGTTGAACATGGTTTTAAAATACTTACTACGGCAGCAATGAAGCAGTAGGTCCACAGCACACGATAGCTATGATAGAGCCCAATAGGCTCAGGAATCTGTACACCAGTTGACCGACTGTTGAGAGGCGGAACCAAAGAGCCAGAGCTCAACTCCCGCAATTACAACTAGGTGAATACACGGAGGCAAATATAATAATAATAACCGGCCGCTTGTTTACAGAAACACTGACTGACTGACTTGTTTGGTGTCGCCTCCTACAGACATCCAAAAGTACGTCGAAGTACTCTATTTCTCCGGAGTTTTACTCTCTGTTCTTGGGAACACTCGGGGTGTGACCGTAAAGAATGTGTGTCTAAACATTCAAGAATGTCTGATTAAGGCCGCTCGGCCAGCACAATAATGTCACCAAATTGATTGTTTATCAGAGAACTGCAAGTTATTTAACACATTTCTCTCTGCGTCCTTAGAATTTGTCACCGTCTTGAGTCACAGATAGGAGTATATTATCAAAGTCATCTTAAATTCACTTGTCACAGCACTACTCAAGCGTCAAGACAACCACTGTTACTGGCAAGACCTTCACAGCCAAACTCGCCCGCGACTCACGCCGACTCCAAAGTCGCATTCGCTAATCAAAATCAGCATTCTTTTAAATAACAAATATCAATATTATATAACAACATTTCGTTAATATATAATATATTAACATATTTAGACTAAGGTTAACTTAGGTGTTTATAAGTTCTATTGCCAATTATTTATATTTGCAGTACGTGAGTGAAGATTCAGGCGCGATTCGAAGAGCAGCCTAGCATTCGACCGAGACACGTTCATCAATTTGAATATACTGTGTATTAAAAATAGGTATCTTCTCATATATAAATTAATATTATTATATATTAAAGTTCAATATATAGTTTGGCCTAGGTTAGGTGTTTAGGTTCTGTTCAAGTTCAAGTTCAAGTATGTTTATTGAGACAAAAAAAAAAATACATCTCAAAGGGATAGAGTAGCTTAGGCTATTTCTACCCCCCTCTACTTCAAGTCCCTCAAGGGGCGCACAAATTCAGTGAGTACAGATACACAAATCACAATACAACATTTAACATTGCATATTAATATAGTAAGTGTTACAATCATTGGGGCAAAATTCTTGTAGTTCCTAAGTATTCTGTCTATCATATCATTATCACACATCCAAACAATTTGAAGTGGTACACTACTTATTTCCTTATTTCTATGGTTATCCATAATTTGACACTTTAATACATAATGGTCTTCCAAGTTCAAGTAGGTTTATTGAGACAAGTTAAAAAAAAAAAAAAAAAAAAAAAAAAAATCAAAGATTAGCTTAGGCTATTTCTACCCCTTCCCATACTTCAAGTCCCTCAAGGGGCGCACAAATTCAGTGAGTACAAATACAAGAATCCCATGTAACATATCAGGTTAATATAGTACTATCTAAGAGTATAATAGTGTACATCCACCGCACTAGATTTTAACCCATTAACGCTCCAAGATAATATTCTCACTCTACTTTCATCCATGATTTAATAAAACTACCTTTGCCCTGTCTGTCACATTCCATGAGATACGAGATTTTCTCAGACAGACTCTCCCAACACTGTAACATTTCTGCTTTCTCCTCATTTGCACAACAGCTACTAGCATCAAAGGTGATCTTATTCATATCTAATTTCTTTCTTATTTCTCTATACCGTTTTACTTTAACCTTTGTTTCGACATTTGTCACTACAGAAGGTTGAACGCTAACACTACTAGAAAGTTCATTTTCCTGACTATCCTCTATCATCAATACGTCATGTTCTTCCTTACTTTCTTCAACGCACATTTCACGTCCTGTTTCACTTTCCACTTCACGTCCTATTTCACTTTCCATTTCACGTCCTGTTTGACTTTCCATTTCACGTCCTGTTTCACTTTCCATTTCACGTCCTGTTTCACTTTCCATTTCACGTCCTGTTTGGCTTTTCATTTCACGTCCTGTTTGGCTTTCCATTTCACGTCCTGTTTGGCTTTCCATTTCACGTCCTGTTTCACTTTCCATTTCACGTCCTGTTTCACTTTCCACTTCACGTCCTGTTTCACCACCATCTTCACCCCGTCTACCCCCCATAGTTAATTTTTCTAATGCCTCAATCCTCTTTTCTAGTTTTTTTAGATATTCCAATATTTGAGTACCAACCTCAGAGTTCACTATATTGACCTGAACCTTGTTTCCACAAGGTTTAATTTTTTCAGCTGCATTTCCTACTTTCCCTAGGCTCGCCTTAATTGTCTCTGTTCCTTTCTCCCACACATTGTTCATAGGCGCTGTCATTGGCTTCCAACTGTTTCCTCCATGTTCCTGCTGCACAATCTTTCCTTCCTTCGAGGATACATCTATCCTGCTTGTAGCACCCGTCCTCGAGTCTCTCAGATGAGGCTTCATGCGACATAGATAGGAACCAGCATTGTGGCTTCCTCGACAATTGCAACAAGATGGGACGATTTTTTCACCGTTTTTAATCTTGACTCTACACTCTCGAGAGTCGTGTTTCTTACCACAGTACCGACACCTGGAGTCAAACTGGCATTTCCAAGCCATATGTCCCCAACGAGAACACTTCATGCATAATATGGGCTCCTCAATGTATTTTACAACTTTCCTGTAGCCTAGTCCTTGCACAAAAATTCTTTCTGGAGCCTCACCCTTTACCAAGGCAACAACCTGGCTTTGTTTTTCACCACGAACACTGTTCCTCTTTGCCCAAACAACACTATCATTGTTGAGCAATAGATAATCAGGATCCAAATAAGTTGGATACTTAAACACTATGACCTTGGTGTACATCATACCTTTTTCCGGAGTAACCATCACAATATTCTCAAACCCATCCTTCGTTAGGTGTTCCACGGCCTCCTCTGTCCCAACTGTTATATAGGGCCGGTGAAGACCCTCCTTGAATAGTGGTTCATATTCAAAAAACTCCTTAGCCAAACGAACCGTCCACTCCAGCTTTTGATGGAAATTCAGTTGACATGCTGTAGGGAACAACAGCCTCTTCCTTCCATTAGTCTGCATCTCCCGCGTCCTGCTGAGCATGTCTTCATTTTTTGGTCTCTTTGTTATTTCCTCCTCACTGTCTTCGTCTCGCTGTCTTTGAATATTTCTCCGTTTATATCTGTTTACTACTGCTTGATACGGCCTAGTATCATCCTGTCTGCCATCCCCACTGTCACACTCTCCAGGCCCAGTACAGGATCTTCCATCACCTAGGCAGACCGCCTCAGCCATTTCCTCGATACACAAAGGCACTGTATCACTGCAACAGTCGAGAACAAATTCACAACATCTAGCTGCAGCAGCCACGTGCAAACACGAAGATGCGGAGCAACACGTCCTCCTCGCATCATGCAGCAGACCGCACTGTAGGTTCTGTTGGCGGATATTTGTATCTTTTTTTATCGATATTTACAGCGTTGCGATTCGAACAGAGGTCGTCAGCGAAGCCTTGTTCAAGAAAAGTACGAACTTCATCAGTTGTGAATCATATGAAAAGTGGTTTTCAGTTATAAACAGGGTTTGGCGGCTAAATGAAATGAACATTTGCCCTTTGTTAAGGACAGGCTGCCCATCAGCGTCAACAAAGACTAAATACTTGTTAATTTGCTTAATGTAACGTAGTAATGCTCATCTGCTTAAATACAAATGCAAACAAATATTTATTCAGGTAAAGTACATACATACAAGGTGAGATACAAAAGTTGATGGATTTATAGATAGAGCTAGTACATACAATGCCTAAAGTCACTATTACGCAAAGCGTTTCGAGCAGGAAAAACACGAAGACTAAAACTTAATACTAATTGAGATTAAAGTATAAATTGTGTTGAGAACAAATAAGAAAAAAATATATAAAAAGGGGGGAGGGAAACATGGCAGCAAAAAAGCAACAATACAATTTGGTCAACAAATAGCATTGTTTAAAATCGTAGACATGGGTTGACATTTAGGGGTGAGGTAGGTTACATTGAGTTAATTAGGTAGTACTTAGTTTTTATCTTAAACTGGTTTGGTGAGGTACAGTCTTTAACATAATTGGGAAGGTCATTCCACATTTGAGGTCCCTTGACTTGTAAAGCATTTCTAGTTTGATTGACTAAGTCGTACTCTTGGAATATCAAATAGGTATCTGTTACAACCTTCTAGGAAGCTTTTAAGGTCAGGACTGACATTACAGTTCAGCGTTTTATATATATATATAATACACATGAGAGGATGTGCAGTGACATAATATCTAACATATTCAGAGATTTGAGTAGGGGTACCGAGTTATGTCTGGGGCCAGAGTTGGATATTGTCCTAATAGCAGCTTTGTGTTGAGTAATTAGAGGACGTAAATGATTTTGGGTAGTAAACCCCAAGCACAAATGTAACGTAGTAATGCTCATGTGCTTAATGTAACGTAGTAATTCTCATGTGCTTAATGTAACGTAGTAATTCTCATCTGCTTAATGTAACGTAGTAATTCTCATCTGCTTAATGTAACGTAGTAATTCTCATCTGCTTAATGTAACGTAGTAATTCTCATCTGCTTAACGTAGCTGCTAGTAAGTCTCACTTGCATAATGCAACCTAGTATATAAATAATCATTTGCTTAATATAGCCTTCAAATGCTTATCTGCTTAAAGTAGCTTAGTAATGCAATTCTTTATAATTTAACCTAGTAATGTGATTTTTTCCAATTTAACGCAATTCTTTCCAATTGAACCTAGTAATGTCCTCAGTTTAATATAGCCTAGAAATGCTCCTTTACCTCATATAGCCTAGTAATGTTTCTTTATCTCATATAACCTAGTAATGCTCCTTTGCCTAATAATACTCACCTGTTGTCTCATAGCCTAATAATTATTTTTTCTAATATAGCCTAATAATATTTCTGTATATAGCCTAATAATATTTCTCTAATATAGCCTAGTAATTCTCCTCCTAATATAACCTAGTAATGCTCCTGTGTTTAATATAGCCTAATCATTAAATCATTATTATAAATGAATAGGTAACTATAACAAAATTATGAGTTAACCTATAGCACGTCTGTTGTCATGGACAAAGTAAATAAAATATTAAAATAACTCAATACATAAAATGATAGTCCCTGTGCGAACGTGCGTTAGACGCGCCTGATATTTATTTATTTATTTATATATATACAAGAAGGTACATTGGGATTGTGAGGATACATAGCATAGTAATTACATTCTTGTAAAGCCACTAGTACGCGCAGCGTTTCGAGCAGAAATAATGATATATAATGATGTGTGACTTCCTACAGAGATGATGATGATGGTGCTGACGGTGCTTCTGGTGTGCTGCGTGGTGGAGACCTGCTGTAAGCCCCTCGACGATGTCCCTCAGATCAGAGCCTCCGTCGGCAGCAGGGGTTCGCACTCCTACACAAGAGACCCGCTGGTATACGCTGAGTCTCCCCCGTCGTATGAAGAGGTTCTGGCTGCAGAGGCCCTGGAGCCTCCTTCCAGTACCTCACAGGAGGACCAGGCTGCTGGCAAGACTATACCCGGCACTTTGCAACACTCGCCGACGCCTAAACCTTTCGTCTTGCAGGATACTGCTGTCTCTGGTTCCTACCAACACAGTTCCGTGCCGCGGAGATATTCTCCTTTCATCCCAGAGTCAACGTATTCATACAGTGTATCTAGTGAGATCCAGTTGTCAGTGGACGAGCTGCCTAGCTACGAGGAAGCTGTGACTGTGTTGCAGTCTGGGGCCAGCGCTCAACATCAAGTCAACACCAACCACGACATGAATTTGATGTTTATATAGCGGTTGCTTCTATAATATAGCTTTTTTAAAATGACTGATTTAGTGAAATCAATCGTGTCTTGAATGTGACACGAATAACACTTTTGTGATAACTGCGATGTATAACGTTTGTGATAATGTGATTGAATAATGACACTATAGCTTGATTCAATCAATCATCAGAATATATTCATGACAATCATGAAAATAGCTTCGGAAACTATATTATACTCATAAGAGGAAAAAGAGAGACCCACCCTAAATATACAGAATGACGACTTTCCTACTTTGCCTACACTCAGAGATCTCACCAAACAGCACCGGATAATGACGACGTGAAAAAAATTGAATACAATTCCCCAAGGCTATGACGGGGCGCGAACCCCGACCCTAGCTCTACAGAGTTCTCCTTGCCCACTGCCTTACCCAATGATTGATTGGTCCCTTTCCCCTCATTCACCTATTTCTTACCCTATGTTTGATTGCCTTTTTATTACTTCGACCCTTCACCTCACCTCACACAACTTCATCTTTCCCACATGTTCATTTAAGCCAAAAATTCCACCTTGTGTATTCATTCTATACCTGAAGATGTTCCAGAGTGGAACGAAACGTTCTAAAAAATAAATTCAATAATTACAAGTTTTCTTTACCATGAATTTTGGAAACTTGATTGCTTAACTTGAATAGTTAGATGCTCAGAAAGCTTACACTATAAATCAATATTATATATAATATATATATATATATATATATATATATATATATATAATATATATATATATATATATATATATATATATATATATATTATATATATATATTATATATATATATATATATATATATATATATATTATATATATATATTATATATATATATATATATATTATATATATATTATATATATATAATATATATATATATATATAACTATAACACTATATATATAACACTATAAATCAATATTATATATATATATATATATATATATATATATATATATATATATATATATATATATATATATATATATATATATATATATATATATATATATATATATATATATATATATATATATTATATATATATATATTATATATATATTATATATATTATAATATATTATATATATATATAACTATAACACTATATATATAACACTATAAATCAATATTATATATATATATATATATATATATATATATATATATATATATATATATATATATATATATATATATATATATATATATATATAACTATAACACTATATATATAACACTATAAATCAATATTATATATATATATATATATATAATATATATATATATATATATATATATATATATATATATATATATATATATATATATATATTATATATATATACAGTGGTACCTCGCATAACGATTGCCCCAAAAGACGAATATTTTGGGTAACGAACGGCCCGATCGGCGTCAAATCGTCCCGTATGACGAACGCTGGTTTGAGTAACGTCAACACAACATGGTGGGGTCGCGCTGCTGTTTGCACATTCTTAGACGCCTCCGACGATGCACATAAATTATGTTGTTCTTGTTTAAAGATGCTAATGATGCTGGGATATAAAAGGGTGACTGCTGAGATGTTGCAAAGCATTGACGTTTTTGTAGGAAAAAAGAAATGAAATATCTGATATACAACAAATGTCAATAAAGTTCATTCGGTGTTCGGCAGGTAGGCTGCTCCATTATAACAATCTTTCTTTGTTTCAAATGTGTTCCATTTGTTTTTTATTTGTCATTTACGTCTCAATAATGGAGAAGCCTACCTTACATACACTGAATAAACCATTATGATATTTTCCTTTCTTCAAATGTGTTCAATATTTATTTTTCATTTGTCTTATAGCAAAAGGTTCGTTCGGTGGTCGGCAGGTAGGCTGCTCCATGTTTCTTACATACAAAAAACGTAAATAATAAAAAAAATGAGGAATTTTGAAAACCAGTACAAATGTCAAAAAGGTTCGTTCGGTGGTCTACAGGTCGACTGCTCCATGTTTCTTAAAAAAAAAAAAAAAACGAAAAATAAAAGAACTGTTGAAACAATTTGAAAAATGGACAAATGTCATAAAGGTTCGTTCAGTGTTTGTCGGGTAGGCTGCTCCATTATTGAGACGTAAGTGATAAATACAAAACAAATGGAACACATTTGAAACAAAGAAAGATTGTCATAATGGAGCAGCCTACCCAACAAACACTGAACGAACCTTTTGCTATAACGAATATGAAAGACAAGGGCTGCTGGTTGGGTTAGTAGTGCGTGAGCAACCATTTGTAGCACACATGCCTCTGGCTCTCAAACACCTGTCCCACACGGTGTTGAAAGACTGTACTCAGTCAGTGCAATTCAGACCCTATTGTTTGAAGAACATAAGGGTCATAACATTGGTGAAGCTAGGCGCAATAAGGGCTTAACACAACGGTCGGATGCCTGTGATACAGCACCTATGAGGATGATACAGCGAGCGTATCCAGGTGTAGCTCTGAGCCCCACCCTTGCCATCTCTAATGTATATAGATGATACATAGATGAATCGTTTTCTGCGTTCAGTGATGATGCATCTGATACAAGTAGCATAGATGAACAGTGTTAGCGGCTTCCATGGTGGTGGTGTTCATTGATATTGTTAAGAATACCTGAATCTTTTCCTGACCGATGGACACTCTTTGAGGCTAGCTGAATCTCTTCCTGACTGATGGACACTCTTTGAGGCTAGCTGAATCTCTTCCTGTGTGGGACCTTACAAAGCGATCTTTTCAAGACTACCTTACAAATTGAGCTTTTCCTATAATCGTTTCAATACTACTTTATGCTTTACAAGCTTGGCTACATACCACCTACAAGTACTAAAGCCAAGGGTGCACGCGAGTGCATTATTTGCAAGCACACAGAACGATGAAACAGGAAACAAAAATCTATCTGTAGCTGGTGCAAGGAGAGCAAAGTCGCGCTGTGTACCATGGACTACTTCGTTGACTATTATGCACTTCCAAAGTACTGAGTGTGTAATACAGTGTGTTACTGTGTAAATAGTATGTGAAACTGTACATATTGTAATATTAGTGAATTTTTACTACGTAATATTGTGACAATAAACATTTATTGTGGACACATTACTGACACATGTATCACAGTTTCATGGAAAATTATGAACATTCTACTGTATACATATTGTAAAGGTCACAAATATGCATCATATACGATAAAAGAAACAAATAAAACCGCATTGGAAATGCATAGGAAAAATATTTGAAAATATATTTGTGGCAACACGCGGTGCTTGAATGGCCTGCGCGACCGTGTCTGGGAGCTTCACACACGGGCGACCAGCCCCTGATGACGTCACAGCGCACCTTGTCCACGCCCTCACAGCCAAAGTAAGTGGAATTTGGTAATTATCGTTACATAGACATGTTCAGGGACGGTAATTTATCATTTTACAAAGAAAAATTATATTTTGGGGAACATTTGATGTCATGCACACTAGGGAAATTTCACAATAAACACAGTGCATCACACTGGTTACATGGGAGACACTCGTTTTGTATGACGTCCGTTTCGCATGACGAACATGGAACGGATTAAATTCGTTATGCGAGGTACCACTGTATATGTATATATATATATATATATATATATATATATATATATATATATATATATATATATATATATATATATATATATATATATATATATACTGAAAACTCACACCCCAGAAGTGACTCGAACCCATACTGCCAGGAGCACTCTGCTGGCGTACAGGATCCCTTAACCGCACGACCGAACAAAAAGAGGATGGTAGCCGAGGCTATTTCCATCCCCCCGCCGGGACTTGGTTGGTAATCTTGGGCATGGTATTTTATCAAATCACCTCATTCTTTGGGGCACACGTGAGGAACACAAATGCGAACAAGCCTGAATGGTCCCCAGGACTATATGCAACTGAAAACTTACACCCCAAAAGTGACTCGAACCCATACTGCTAGGAGCACACTGCTGGCGTACAGGATTGTTACAGCCCTTGAGGTCTTGGTATGGTTCTTTGCCTGCAGTGATCAAATATAAGAAAATCGGCCTTGCCATCTGAATGTCTAGGGAATTAAAACAAGAAAACACTGCGTTAACGGGCAAACAATATACTATGACTAAGGGTGACAAACATATCAACAATTAAATGGTAAAAAATATGACAGCCAGAAATATTCTTCAGCGTGCAATAACATAAATAAAAATCCTAAGTAGACACAAACCATCTCTTTAACACATGAATGAATAAATGGTGTAGCACAGTCATACCAAGAGAATTAACCGAGTAATAAGCTAAATAAACAATATCCCCTGACTTATCTTATATACATGTCTCTTCTCCATACAGTTACCCACGCGACTGAATAAAACCTCCCGCCAATACACAGGCGTCCTACCAAAACATCAACTAAGCACCCGCATGAACTCTTGTGAAACTCTTAACAAATGTATAGGACTAAGAACCATATAATCAGTAATCTAAAGAGTATATAATACTGTTACATAAATCACAAGAATTTAATTACAAACAATAATAGGAATTAATCAAGGTTGAAATATAAACGCTAGCTTGACAACCAGCCGCACACTGGACACTTCCAAATATGGTCATTCCCCCATGGAGTAGCCACACTCCCTCCAAACAAGAAATAACTTGCATAAGCTTATCCAAATAAATGCAACTCAGGCACACTAGAACCTGCAGCATAACATTTGCTCTGGTGCATAGACCAAGACAACAAAATCACTAACAACTCTTCGAATATGCAGACTGTACTGTATTAACATATTGAAACATGCCTGATTTCTGATCCAAAGCTGTTAGAATAAATATTATAATCTTTTGTTGTCCATGATTCTGTGCATGGTTCAAACAAAACTTGGAAGATAATCATTTTGTTATTGTTAAACTCAAGTGATCATGTTTGATTTCAATTGTTATAATTTTCTTTCATAAAGATTTAAGGCCCTTAAATTGTAGGCTGTTCAGCCGGAGGTGCATCATAGCTTATGTCCTGTAATGGCTGTCTGTCGTTACTTGCATTTAACCAGGAATGTTTTGGGTGATGTATTGTTTATGGATCTGGTGTCCCTGGTGCTTTGTTCTAGGGGCCCAATTATCTCACGTCGTTCGCAGTGTTATCAAGTTTAGCCAGCCTATGGTCTACCCTCAGGCCCATATGTGCAGAAGTCTGTGGCTTTGTTGTGTTTGCCAATACGTTTTGGCAGCTTGATATTAGGTCAATATGTTGGGGGCCACGCTAGGCTTGTATGGCTTTGGGTCATGTTTCCCATCCGTAATGTTTTCTTCAGAGGTTATCAACTTTTCCTCTCCTCCACACTTAGTGAGTTCTTGTGTTTTCATTCTCAGTGGCAAGATGGCAACAGGGAGTCACTAACAGGGCCCTTCCAGAAATGCAGCATTGAATGTAATGATATGCCTCTTTCTGATGAGTCCCTCTGTGGCTCCCTCGACCCTCCCTTCCCTTTTTTGAGTAGAGTGGGCAAGGAGTCACTGTGGACTCGTCCATCAGCTGATAAGTCAAGTTCAAGTATGTTTAGACATACGACAAGAAAACACATATCAAAGGGATAGAGTAGCTTAGGCTATTTCTACCCCCCAACAGATGAGTCACTGTGGACTTGTCAACAAATTCCAAGCATTTTCAACAACGACACTTCCCATTAAACTTATCGCTTTCTATGAACGCCGTATTTCCTGTGAACTTAGGACGCTGCTTTTTCAAATTCAAACCGATGGAATTCATTGCATTGGAGGGAAGTCAATTGCTAATACAGAACGCCAAAAAATCCATAAAATCGCCTATGCGTCTAAGTTGTGAATTCCCAAATACTTCAGATTAAAATTTAGCTTGAAAATATCTTCAGGAACAACGGGGAGGACCTTTGACAACCCGCCGGCTTTCAATCCCCGATGACGCCGCTAGAAATAGTGGCCCTCGGGTAAATTTTGGTAAAATAACTTTAGCATATTTGTGTGTAAACGAACATTATGCATAACTACACTAACATCTTAAGTAGCCTAACCCGTGCACATAGTTGTACGACTATCAATAGTACTTACAAGACTATTAACATTGTTACTATTAACACCAACACTATTACTAATAATATATACACTTATAACACTGACATTGGTATGATTTTCTGTTACAGCTGTCACTGTTAATTACAACTTTATGTTTTAAAAACAATACACAATCATTTTAGGGAATGCAAGTCACAGTTATATTATGGCAAATGAGACATTTCCACTTTTAGTGTTGCATTAACTGGTAACTTGTATAGAAGTGTGTAAACTTTTTCCACTGCTGTTGACTGTTTGTTCATTTTTGCCCCGTAAGGTTTGTTTATTGGGCAGCGTCACTCGCCTGTGTGTGTTATGACCTTTGACCTCTTTGTTATGGTTCTGCTTTTGCAGTTGTAAAATATATAATAACCTTGCCTACTACAAATGTCTAGGGTAAATAAATCAACTGCTTAATCAGCAAAGCGATATACTTTTAGTAAGGGTAACAAAGAAACATATAAATGAAATACAGGTAGCCTGAAATATTATTGCACCAGAATGAAATAACACAATATAATAATATATAAGCACTGATCACTATTTTAAAACTTAAATGTATAGATGGGTATGCAAATAATGGTTTAACCAGGCAATTAGTTATGTACCTAAACAATAAACAGGTACCAAAGACTTCTTCTCATAACATGTCCACCCCAGGCAGCTTCACCCACGCGACTAACATGGCTAGAGCATGCATGGCATGGTGTCTAGGTTACCAACTAAGAACCAGCTGAAATCTTTAGATACTCCGCTATCTGAGAGTAATACTTAAGAACATAATTATAACTATACTAATATGCATATAATACTGCTAAGGTGTAATTAAAGAAATATGTACATACAAGGAACTGGAATAATTACTGGGGGTAATCAGTGACGCTAGGTTGATACTCTGCACGCATTACACACAGAAATCACAATTGCATGATGCATCAAATGAACAAATCTACAAGGGCTGTGACGAGGATTCGAACCTGTGTCCGAGAGCATCCCAGACGCTGCCTTAATTGACTGAGCTACGACATGGTCAAAAACCATGTCCACAACCATGTTTTGACCATGTCGTAGCTCTGCAGTCGATTAAGGCAGCGTCTGGGATGCTCTCGGACGCAGGTTCGAATCCTCGTCACGGCCCTTGTGGGCCTAATGCCTTAGGCCCACAAGGCCTAAGGCATTAGGCCTTAGGCCTTAATGTTTTCTCTTTCTTTTTGTAATTAAATAATGTTCAATGCACGCATTACTGGATCATCTCAAATATGGTCAGTCATCATGTCACTTGTACCCATCATGTCCAACACCCCCTAATAGGAAGAAAACCTGCTGGGTTGTTCATCATGTCACTTGTACCCAAATATAAGTACTCGGCTTTGTGCAGCTTGGACAGACTTAACTGTCTCAAGTGAACAGTTCATCAAACGAGAAGAGTTTGAGGAATGATATATCATAGCATATAATAACATATCAGATATAATAGCATATCTGATATGCTATTATATGCAAGAAATGACATCACTTGTAATGCACTGTGTTTTCACTTGCTTGTTGTGGTTTGTTTGTAATTATTATTGTTTTGTGGTCGGCCCTTCCGGTCGGCGTTTTTGTGTTTAGTACCTTTGTTCCTTTAAGTTTTTGCACGTTTGTGCTTTGTTATTTTGGTCTGTTCTATATTATTGTTTACTTTTATTGTACTTATAAGCATGCTTGCATTTAAAAATAAATATATATATATATAAAAAAAAAACTTGTAATGCACTGTACAGTACATGAAGATTATTTCTGATAGACTGTTCAAGTTTCTAGAATACTTCATTTAATTTGATGACTATTCATAAATATTTAACCATTAACTGGTCCTAATTTACACTGGCATACACGATATAACTGTTCATTCATAACTTTTCTTGCGACAGCTTTCTTTCCAACTCCAGAGTAAATACTGTTTATGGTTGAGAAAGCGGATTCACGTTGTTGTGGAGGACTGTTGCTTGAAGGAACTTCGGACACTATAGGGAGGTTGAGGATTGTAAACAACGATTTTTTATTGTTGCCGCCGGAGGCGGCCAATTTATTGTGCACCCCATACTTATCCTATGAGGGGTAGCCCAAAAAAGGATTACAGAGGGCACAAAAGGTCTTTATCAGAACTCAACGGATATTATTAAATAAACTATTTCATCTGTCCTTCACACCTTATAAATATAATGTCAGCTAATTACAGAGAATGTTCTATTTCAAGAGCTATATATATTTATCGTAAGTCATTATACAATGGTGTCCTCGTATAAATGTTCATTCCTCTCTGCCACCGAAACCGATGACGATTGTTTTGATCTCCTTTCGTAGATGGCAATGGTGGCGAGAATGAAGACTATTAGGAACATAATAATGGTCAGCACGACACAGGGAGTGAGAGAGGAGACCGGAGAAGCGTACTTGCGCGGGTCACAGTCAAAACTCCAAGAGGAGGAACCTTGCGTCGTTAGCATGAAATTGGTGCCGGTAATTTTACGTGTGTTCTCTGGTGATGCAAACTGCTCCTCTCCGTCGATTACCAGGTGATAACTCTTTGATAACTGGTTTTGATTGATTCTCAACTCGTGCCAATAGTCCTTTTTACTAAATATTTGTGGCAAGATTTTGAATCTTCCAATTTCATTGGGGTAACCTGGCACACACACCTTATAAAATATATCCAGCCCTAAATGCTGAAAATGTTCGCCAGGTTTGACATAAACAGTAAAGTTAGGGTTTGAGAAATCTCTGACAAGGCAGGTGGTGTTCAGGCTATCAGTAGAGAAGGTATGGCAACCATAGCTCTCTTCTGGCGTCAGCTCGCAGCCCTCGTATTTGTCACAGATTACTTCGTTGAATCTGTTATATACTGTGTTGTTATATGTTGACGAAAATAATGTGTTGCTCACTGCGGTACGGGAACATTCAATAAAAACAAAAACAATGAAGAAGAAAATCTTGACAGCCATGACACCTCTGGATAGGTTACTCTTAACCCAAATATATTTGTATTCCGTATTAAGAATCGTAGCTTTAAATCATCACTCTGATTGTATTGACCGATGTGAATACAGTAAGAATACAACTCAGGGGTAGGAATACTCTGGGCCTGTCAGTTCTTCCAGTCCTTGAGTAGGCTTCCTCAGCCCTGCCCTCCACAATACCGTACTCAAACTTAGTCAAGAGGGCTTTTGTTTGCTCCAACTTGTTTTTTTCTTTTTCTTCTTTCCTTTTCCTCCCTTTATTTTATCGTTCTGAATTTTTTTATCAGTAAAAATACACTGACGAGGATTCGTACTTAACTAAAAGTTTGGTTTACGAAAGAAATGCAGAGACTGGTGCCACTGTGATGAGCCGCCCAAGGAAGATGTCCTCCCAGCAGATGCCAAGGTAGTAAATGTCTTCTCAGCAGACAAGGGTGTAGTTGTTCAAGAAACAGACATGGCAGCAGCTCTAGACAGCAGGCACCGATGCTGCGGACACCTCGGGAGTAGAGCATAAGACGATGTCCGGAGACCAGGAAATGAAGGCTTCCACTACACTGGAACACTAGGCGCAGAGGAAATAGATTCTTCCAGTAGTTATAACAAGGGCGGAGTTGAAGGAGCAGTCACCGAGGAAATGCTTTGCTGGGCGCCCATCTACCTCGACTGTAAGCGAATGAGACGTGGCAGAGGTACAGGATCTGTGATATCCTATACTGCGTCATATCCGAGACCACTCTTAGTCATGAAAAACTGCATTTTTTTAACTATACGAACAAGTATCTTGCCCGAAACGCAGAGCGTACTTGTGGCTTTATGTGTAGTAAATACTTGCCTTACCTAGAAATCTAACACTGTTTTTAACTCATTGTGTATGTATGTATATACTTTTCCCTAAATAACATTTTCATTATAATTAACTTGACTACACAATTAGCAAACGTCTTTATTCAACTGTTAGCAAAGATAGTGTTGGTGTGTTGGTAACAACGAACAATTGAAAAACAAAATAATTGACATCAAGGCACTACTACGGATGTCTGGTGTCCGACGAGTCAAGTGTAAAAGGTCATGTTGATTAGAGTAACACTAATGTACTTTGTCAGCTTCAGTCTTCCTTCATGTTGACGACTCTTGTCTTGGCCACCAAGAGTCACGCTCATGGTGTCATTTTGCATGCTAGTCGCAGAGTTACAGCCCCGCTCCTGTGCCAGGTAAGTCCACTACGGGCTCACCATAGCCTATGCTACTGGAACGAACATTTTGTTCCCAGTAGCTGAATCTAAAAACAGCAGCAGCATTCTAGAGTCAACACAGAAAGGCAGAGATGGACAGAAAAACAAAGTCAGAGACAATAACAAAGCAGGCACATACAAAAATACACACGCACGCAGATCTACGATCCCCAAATTCAAGTACGTTTATGTGATTTCAAAGGGATAGAGTAGCTTAGGCTATTTCTGCGATTCCCGGCTCCGCCCGGCCACCACAAGGATATCTATCGCACATAACATGTGTGTATATACATTTTATTATGTTAAGAGTGAACTTGTTGATAAATATTCCCACTGTGCAGGGTAAATGCGTCAGGCTGTGCGCCATCTTCGTGGTGTCGGGGTTGCTGTGTGTGACGTCCCTGGGTTGGGTCTTCACCCGCTCCTCCACCACCGCCCACCTGCTCGGTGAGTACTACCTATCTTGTCCTGTGCTGTCCAACGCACTTTTCATCACACTACGTGTTCCTGCTACTGTATTTTGTTCCTTCCCCACACACTGTATTTGTCTGCTAAAAATACTCTGTTGGAGTCGCACCTGCCCCTCTTAATTTGTTTGTCGGGGACAGTCGACAGAACATTAAATACAGTCGGGACAGTCTGGCACACTCCAACAGAAATATATATATACTTTAGGTTTGCATCTATATATACCCAAGGTCGAACTACTGACCCTCCGTGCATCCCACCCTATAACAGTTGTTCTACTCTCGAGTATCTATTTATTACTAGGCATTAGGTGAAAAGAATGGTACCCAACCATTTCTGTCCCGGAAATCAAACCTGGGATCCCCAATTGAGAGTCGAGAACGAAGCCAACTGCGCTAGGAGATTCTAATTACAATGTAATGTGCCCCTACATCCTCTCGTTGTATGGAGTTTGTCAAATTGTATTGTGTGGAACTCTTCGCAAATTTGTATGATGTCGCTGCTAAGTTACACTAAATATGGCGCTCCAGCTAAATGATTGTGGCGCTCGCTTGTAAAACTGTCATGTATCCCCGGAAACCGTCGTGACATTAACTAGTAAGTTTACTGTCACAGTAAGCTCTGGCTTTAACAACCCCTCTCAAGGTTGATAAGTGCTTATAAGCACAACACTAAACCACTCAAGTTCAAGTATGTTCATTGAGACAAGAAAAAAATACATCTCAAAGGGATAGTAGCAGCTTAGCCTATTTCTATCCCCCAAAGCCATTCCTGCACAGTTAGTGGCTAGTCACGAAATATTATTAAATTATTATCATAGGCTTATTGAGGTGCTAGGCTAAGTCCACGGCGGCAAGCAGTATCCTGCACAAAATTCTCTAGCATACTGTCCTCCATGTGCAAGCCAAGGAATTATCAGATGAAGAGAGCGCCAAACCATTACAACTATATAGTACTGGGAAAGGGTTAGGATAAGGATTTGGGATGGGTCGGGGGGAAATGAATGGTGCCCAACTACTTGGACGGTCGGGGATTGAACGCCAACCCGCACGAAGCTAGACCGTCGCTCTACCTTCCACCCCAAGTGGTTGGACACGAGTTTTTTTTAGAAGATTGTAGCCAATTTTGGCACACGCTCTCAGAAACGTTCACCTGACCTAGGCCTACTAGACTGGTTTTCCCCACGATGCAACGCACAACAGTTGCCTAACTCCCTCTTACCTATTTAATGTAAACAGAGACATCAGGTGCAAGGAAACGCTCCCAAACGTCTCCGTCCTGTCACAGTTGTTGAACCCGGAACTTCAATATGGCTGTGACCGGATTGTACACCCCCTTCCCCCCCACCTACTGCTCTACAAGTACCATCAAGTATCAGTTGAAAATTCCATTTTGCGGCTGGAAAGTGATTTAAAATTCCCGTCCAAGAGCCCGTTCTCCAGATATACCACTCCGTAAAATTGCAGCTGTTTTGCCTAGCCTGAAGCATGCCAATCCAAACAGCCTAACTTGTGGAGACCGATGTATAATTAATTTTATCAGGAGGAAAGCGCCAAGCCTAACTTTTTAGCAAAGCCTAACCTAGATGTATAGCAAAAGTCAATATTACGAAGCTTTTAGTTCGACAAATATTTCGTGAAAGAAAATATACGACGTACTATGCGAGAAGATGGGATTTGTTGAACATGGTTTTAAAATACTTACCACGGCAGCAATGAAGCATAAGTCCACAGCACACGATAGATATGATAGAGCCCAATAGGCTCAGGAATCTGTACACCAGTTGACTGACTGTTGAGAGGCGGCACCAAAGAGCCAGAGCTCAACTCCCGCAATTACAACTAGGTGAATACACGGAGACAAATATAATAATAATAATAATAATAACCGGCCGCTTGTTTACAGAAACACTGACTGACTTACTTGTATGGTGTCGCCTCCTAGAGACATCCAAAAGTACGTCGAAGTACTCTATTTCTCCGGAGTTTTACTCTCTGTTCTTGAGAACACTCGGGTGAGACCGTAAAGAATGTGTGTCTACACATTCAAGAATGTCTGATTAAGGCCGCTCGGCCAGCACAATAATATCACCAAATTGATTGTTTATCGAGAACTGCAAGATATTTAATATGTTTCTCTCTGCGTCCTTAGAATTTGTCACTGTCTTGAGTCACAGATAGGTGTATATTATCAAAGTCATCTTAAATTCACTTGTCACAGCACTACTCAAGCGTCAAGACAACCATTGTTACTGGCAAGACCTTCACAGCCAAACTCGCCCGCGACTCACGCCGACTCCAAAGTCGCATTCGCTAATCAAAATGTTTCAAAATCAGCATTCTTTCAAATAACAAATATCAATATTATATAACAACATTTCGTAAATATATAATATATTAACATAGATTAAGGTTAACTTAGGTGTTTATAAGTTCTATTGCCAATTATTTATATTTGCAGTACGTGAGTGAAGATTCAGGCGCGATTCGAAGAGCAGCCTAGCATTCGACAGAGACACGTTCATCAATTTGAATATACTATGTATTAAAAATAGGTGTCTTCCCATATATAAATAAATATTATTATATATTAAAGTTCAATATATAGTTTGGCCTAGGTTAGGTGTTTTAGGTTCTGTTGGCGGATATTTGTATTTGAAGTACGTGGGTGAAGCATTTACAGCGTTGTGATTCGAACAGAGGTCGTCAGCGAAGCCTTGTTCAAGAAAAGTACGAACCTTATCAGTTGTGAGTCATATGAAAAGTGGTTTCAGTTATAAACAGGGTTTTGGCGGCTGCATGAAATGAACATTTGCCCTTTGTTAAGGACAGGCTGCCCATCAGCATCAACAAAGACTAAATACTTGTTAATTTGCTTAATGTAACGTAGTAATGCTCATCTGCTTAAATACAATGTCTAAAGCCAAGACAAAGCGCGTTTACGCAAAGCGTTTCGGGCAGGAAAAACACTAAGACTAAAACTTAATACTAATTGAGATTAAAGTTTAAATTGTGTTGAGAAAAAATAAGAAAAAAAAAAAAAAGGGGGGGGGGAGGGAAACATGGCAGAAAAAAAGCAAAAATACAATTTGGTCAACAAACAGCATTGCTAAATTCGTAGACATGGGTTGACATTTAGGGGTAAGGTAGCACTTGCATAATGCAACCTAGTATATAAATAATCATTGGCTTAATATAGCCTTCAAATGCTTATCTGCTTAAAGTAGCTTAGTAATGCAATTCTTTATAATTTAACCTATTAATGTGATTTTTTCCAATTTAACGCAATTCTTTCCAATCGAACCTAGTAAGGTCCTCAGTTTAATATAGCCTAGAAATGCTCCTTTACCTCATATAACCTAGTGATGCTCCTTTATCTCATATAACCTAGTAATGCTCCTTTGCCCAATAATACTCACCTGTTGTCTCATAGCCTAATAATTATCTTCTCTAATATAGCCTAATAATATTTCTTTAATATAGCCTAGTAATTCTCCTCCTAATATAACCTAGTAATGCTCCTGTGTTTAATGTAGCCTAATCATTAAATCATTATTATAAATGAATAGGTAACTGTAACAAAATTATGAGTTAACCATGTAAGTAAATTAGCTGTGACACTATCTCTCATCACTCCTCGGAGCTGTATGGGTTAAATTACTGAAAAAAATCATGCAAAATTCTGTCACTAGAGGCCATGCTACAGTAGCAGTTTCCATAACATTACTGTTTCTATAGCACGTTTGTTCTCATGGACAAAGTAAATAAAATATTGAAATAACTCAATACGTAAAATGATAGTCCCTGTGCGAACGTGCGTTAGACGCGCCTGATATTTATTTATATATATACAAGAAGGTACATTGGGATTGTGAGGATACATAGCATAGTAATTACATTCTTGTACAGCCACTAGTACGCGCAGCGTTTCGGGCAGAAATAATGATATATAATGATGTGTGACTTCCTACAGAGATGATGATGATGGTGCTGACGGTGCTTCTGGTGTGCTGCGTGGTGGAGACCTGCTGTAAGCCCCTCGACGATGTCCCTCAGAGCAGAGCCTCCGTCGGCAGCAGGGGGTCGCACTCCTACACAAGAGACCCGCTGGTATACGCTGAGTCTCCCCCGTCGTATGAAGAGGTTCTGGCTGCAGAAGCCCTGGAGCCTCCCTCCAGTACCTCACAGGAGGACCAGGCTGCTGGCAAGACTATACCCGGCACTTTGCAACACTCGCCGACGCCTAAACCTTTCGTCCTGCAGGATACTGCTGTCTCTGGTTCCTACCAACACAGTTCCGTCCCGCGGAGATATTCTCCTTTCATCCCAGAGTCAACGTATTCATACAGTGTATCTAGTGAGATCCAGTTGTCAGTGGACGAGCTGCCTAGCTACGAGGAAGCTGTGACTGTGTTGCAGTCTGGGGCCAGCGCTCAACATCAAGTCAACACCAACCACGACATGAATTTGATGTTTATATAGCGGTTGCTTCTATAATATAGCTTTTTTAAAATGACTGCTTTAGTGAAATCAATCGTGTCTTGAATGTGACACGAATATCACTTTTGTGATAACTGTGATGTATAACGTTTGTGATAATGTGATTGAATAATGACACTATAGCTTGATTCAATCAATCATCAGAATATATTCATGACAATCATGAAAATAGCTTCGGAAACTATATTATACTCATAAGCGGAAAAAGAGAGACCCACCCTAAATATACAGAATGACGACTTTCCTACTTTGTCTACACTCAGATCCAGATCTCACCAAACAGCACCAGATAATGACGACGTGAAAAAAAATTGAATACAATTCCCCAAGGCTATGACGGGGCGCGAACCCCGACCCTAGCTCTACAGAGTTCTCCTTGCCCACTGCCTTACCCAATGATTAATTGGTCCCTTTCCCTCATCCACCTATTCCTTACCCTATGTTTGATTGCCTCTTTATTCCTTCGACCCTTCACCTCACCTCACCTCACACAACTTCATCTTTCCCACATGTTCATTTAAGCCAAAAATTCCACCTTGTGTATTCATTCTATACCTGAAGATGTTCCAGAGTGGAACGAAACGTTCTAAAAAATAAATCCTTCAATAATTCCAAGTTTTCTTTACCATGAATTTTGGAAACTTGATTGCTTAACATGAATAATTAGATGCTCAGAAAGCTTACACTACAATTCAATATCACATATATATAATGTAACCAATATATATTACGTGATAACGGTACTGCGGCTATACCGGGTAGATATAAGGCACTTACATTAACAACAAAAGACCACATTGACCTTTGCAGTGTGAAAATTACACAGAAGAGAAGAAATACTCAGACGAAAAATTATAACAATTTACTCTAATATCAAAATGAGCAAACATCATGAAAAATATCCAAAACCCTTGACTGGACATACTAGGCTAGCACACAAGAGAAATAATAATAACACATGTACAAACTTATTTTAACACAAAAAAGGGTGACACTGAAAGTATTGATAAGTACCACTACAACCTGTACATGAAGAAGTGGGAAGCAAGCGTCGTGTAGAGGCACTATAATGCTGATTCCCTCAGCACCTGAGATAGACTGCTGAGGTGACCCAGGTCATGGGGTAATTACTCTGCCTAAAGCTTACTTACTAAAACTTACCTGATCAACCAGGCTGGGACTCATACGTCAGTTTGCGAGCAGCCACGTCATACAGCCTAGTTGATCAGTCCAGCAACAGGAGGCCTGGTCGACGACCGGGCCGCGGGGACGCTAAGCCCCGGAAGCACCTCAAGGTAACCTCAAGCTAAGCCATTAATACGCTCAGCGTCTCGGACAATATCATATAATTAGCGCACGTCTTCAAATAATAAGTGAATTAGGTTATTTGAATTGTGCTTATATACAATTTAATGAATAAAACGGTTTCCCCCGCCTTAACATTTTTATATTATGATAATTACAACATATCTACTCTGCGTATTAGTGACTTTAGGCAGAGTATATACTAGCTCTATCTAGAAATCAAACGTTCTGTTTGTAACTCATCTTGTATGTATGTACTTTTATCTGAATTAACATTTTATTTGATCTTATCTGCGTTAAAATCAGTGTGCAATTCCGGTTTTGGCCATTCTCACTTGTTCCACCGTCTACCACTTTATTTCCACGAGAATGGTTAATATGAGAGCAGAGTTAAAATTACCTACCATAAGTGAAAGAATTTTATCCATTAAAACAGTTTTCGGCGTGAAGGCGTTGAGCAGATCTCGGCAACATATGAAGTTTCAAGAAAAACTTTCTAATATGCTACACTCACCCGAGGTCCATAGAAGAAGAGCGAAATCTGATTATGCATTTTGGTTCTACAAGGTAGCCTAATTAATCAACCAATTACTCCATGGGATAACTGGGATCTATCAGTTGATTTTGTAAATGCATTCATAAATCTATTGATCTATGTATTTAGGTATGTAGCTTAGCCTAACATTTTAAAAGCACTACGATCACCTGTGGTTGTTCAATAAATCTCTGAACTGTATGTTTGACAAATCTTTCACCCTGTCCATGGAGGACAGAAGAAAATGTATATATGCTAGTTAGCATTGTAAATGTGTGGCCACGTCTGTGGAAGAAAGTAGTAAAAAAAAAACTTTATTTCCTTAGTTTCCGAACTATTTTCTTTAGCTTGTGTGTTGTTGTTGTTGTTTAAGATTCGCTACTTGGAACAAAAAGTTCCAAGTAGCACGGGCTATGGTGAGCCCGTAGTGTTGTATTTCTCCTAATGAAGATTATTACAAAATTGTTATTGTAAGGGGCGGCCAAGGGCCAGCAGCCCTTGGAGCCGCTCATAGAAGCACCCAGCGTCATTCCCTAGCTAGTTCCATCTTTGTATATATGTATAAAAACACTGCCTATATATACAGCCTAACATGTATATATACACTGGCTGCCTGTCCCCCTACACAATGATTTATTATTAACTATTATTTTTTTAATAAATGAATTGAATTATTGATTTCAATATTGAATATAATAATTTATTTATAATTAAATTTAAATGTATTTAATTATTATAGTAATTACTAAATAAATAATAAGTAGTAAGTACTTAAACATTATTAAAAGTACAGTTTAGTCATAGGAGATTCCTAGATTGGAATTCACTACCAAATTTCAATATAGCCAAGTATTTTTAGTATGAAATGCTCTTATTATATGCATAAATTGTTGTTTTAATAATATTACGCTTAACCACTTGGGCTGGACGGTAGAGCGACGGTCTAGTTTCCTACAGGTCCGCGTTCAGTCCCCGACCGCCCATAAGGTTGGGCACTATTCCTTTCCCCCGTTCCATCCCAAATCCGTATCCTGATCCCTTCCGAGTGCTATATAGTCGTAATGGCTTGGCGCTTTCACTTGATAGTTCCCCCACCCCCCTGAATAATATTACGAGAGCAGTATTTACGGGCTATTCATGCCCGTGCCACCTCTTGGGTGGCTTAATCTTCATCAATCGAGAGCAGTACGTCCTAACCAGACGTTATATGATGATATCCTCAACAGTTGATAAATAAAAGTAATTGCGGAACTCCAGTTATCTAATACTTATCATAAATGGTATAAAACCTTATCATAAGCCAAGGGATTTGTAGATCAGTGTTTAAAGGGAATTCGGAAGTAATAATAACACAGCTGATGCCATCTGTCGGCACAAGAGAACACTATCAACTGGCTGGTCAACAGTGGCCATAAGATACAGCTTACGCCATCTGTTGACATCAAATTACACCTATAACAAATTACCCCACAAAATACCACTAACGCCATCTAGTTTTTTTCCAACGCACTATAAATAGCCAAACAGCAACCCATAAGGCGGGTTGTTGTGCTCGGGTAGGAGGTTCCAAGCTCCGCCCACAGATGGTATGGAGTGCATAATAAATGGCATATCATTGGTAGACATTCTTTGTTGACATTCACACAACAGCCAATCACAGGAAGGGATCAGCTTAAGGCTCCATCCACTTAATAAATCATCTTTATTCAGCACACCATCCTTGCTTATGACATTCTGCTTCAACTTTAATCTATCTAAAAAGTGAAATGTTAAGTATTTAAAAGTATTAATATAGTGAGAATTAAATACTTCAGGATGTAACGAGTGTTACAGAAACATGGGCTGGCTACCTAACTTGTGACGTCATCAGTGGGAGTTGCCTCACACAAATAATATCGGTGATACAATGCCTCCGCCCGCTTATTCGTCTACATTATTCAGTTAGATGGAAATTTCTGTCTTGTATAAAACAGACATTGTTGTTCTTTTGTACAACAACAAGGTTATTGAGCAAAAGGACGTATTTCTTATTTTGCATTTTATTCATATAAGCGTTGACATTCACACAACAGCTAATCACAGGAAGGGATCAGCTAAAGGCTCCATACACTTAATAAATCATCTTTATTCAGCACACCATCCTTGCGTATGACATTCTGCTTCAACTTTAATCTACATAAAAAGTGAAATGTTAGGTATTTAAAAATATTATTATAGTGATAATTAAATATTGCAGGATTTAAAAGTTGTTATATAAAAATGGGCTGGCTACCTAACTTGTGACGTCATTATTAGCGGTTGCCGTGACACAAATAATGATTCGCTGCTCTACCCTCTTATTCCAGTAAATTATTTAGTTAGATGGAGATTTCTGTCAGGTGCAAAACAGAAAATGTTGTTCTTTTTCACAACAACCTTGTTGTTGTGCACAAGGACCTATTTCTTAGTTTAAATTTTATTCATGAAAGTGTTTGTATTCCTCGCAACAGCCAATCACAGGAAGGTATCTCTGGAAGCTCCGCCTCCTTATGGACTCAGCACATCGTTCTAGCTCATGACTCTCTGTTTCATCTCTTGTATATACAAACTATGACTTTGCCCACTTATGGTCGATCTCGAACCCACTGTTGATGTGACGACTTATATTGAATTTTGTAACTAGCTCATCAAGATTGTAACTTGCTTAACTAAATGAATTGTGGGGTTCAGTCCCTGAGCCCATTATGTGCCTCTGTAACCCTTTCCACTACCGCCCACAAGATGGGTATGGGGTGCATACTAAATGAACTAAACTAAAACTAATTAGCCCAAAAAGTAGCAAGTAGCGAAATTAAAAATTTGGGAGCGCGGGGCTCTCAAAAGTAGCCCAATCTGGCACCACTGCCAGGGTTGTCAGATCCAAATTGCTGAAAGTAGCGACCTGACGGTCTAAAAGTAGCGAATTTGTGATAAAAGAGTAGTCCAATTTTTTTTTAGTGAATGATATGGGTTTCAAAGTAATATATTTTGACATATAGAGTACACTACACGATGTTAATTGTTTTATTAATATTATTTCTGCACGTAAACACACATCAGACCACGGAGGAAAAATCTTAATATATATAATATAGTGAAGATGTATATATACGAAATAATATTATGAAGATGTATTATTATACGAAATATAAGGAAATTCCTGTTTCATATATATATATATATATATATATACTGGTATATATATATCACGACCGGACATATATATATATATATATATCACCTCATTATGTCCGGTCGTGATGGTCAATATATATATATATATATATATATATATATATATATATATATATATATATATATATATATATATAGAATATAGATATATATATATTGGTGTATACTGGCAGCAGGTTTTCTTTTAAACATGTCTCATTGAATATGACCGCATATTCAGTATTTACTATCTTCTGGTTTAGGGCTTCTATCCCTCTAATTATTTTCCTAGCATCAGGGCTTAGCTGAAAGAGGAGTTCTCCAAAACTCATTTTCGTTATTTCAAGGTGAAGAAAAAAAGTGAATTACTCTAAAATGTATTACACTTATTTATACAATTTGCACAACGTTTCGAACCTCCATGGTTCATTCTCAAGTGAAATGAAATTGATGATGATTGATTGATGAAGATTAAACCACCCAAAAGGTGGCACGGGCATGAATAGCCCTTAAGTGGTGGCCCTTTTGAGCCTGCGGCCCCTTGGGCCCACCCCTGCAGCACCCAGTCTTTGATTTG